ATCGTATAGTAGGATCTTCCTAACTGTGCTGTCTCCTAGGTGGTAGTAGCCCTGGAGCTGTTGCAGGCCTATTTTAGCGAATTTGAAGAGCCGGCGTATGCCCTCTTTGTGCTTAGTTCTGATCTCTGCACCTGGGAGACGTGGAGACATAGGTGGAGTGGTAAAAGGATCCATAATGGTGGAGTTGTTGATAGTTTAGTCCTAATGTGAAGAGTTTTAATTTCGAGGTTCTACAGCCTGAACGCACGGACTTTTGTCCCCATGTTCGTTAGCTTCATACCGAGTCCCGAAGTTGGCGAATCATTGCAGACGTACCTCGCCACATGACAGTGGAGCATACTTGGGTGGACTGTTTTCATCTGTGCAGGTCGGGAGGACAGCACATTGTTTGTTGAAATTGAAGCCTGTACCCGTTAGTGTGCAACCATGCACGCGATCAGCCGACCTACCAAAGAAAAGGGGCATCGAAATACGGTCCGCGTTAGTTCGATTCACTTCCACTCGGTGAACTGTACTCTCCCATTTATCGTTGGTGAGGCGGGAAAGGAAATCTCCAATATTCACGATAAGGGTATCAGCAATAGGAGGCGCTTCAATCCATTGTCCATCTTTGTTCAGCACCTGCAAGCCGCCTATATGATCCTGAAACAGAATAGTGAAGCACTGCAGGTCGGTATGGCTGCCCAGGCCTCCTTGGTACAACCCGGACGTCTCCATATTGGTTTTGGTTGGATGTTCAATTCCAGGGTAGAAGTTCAGCGCCATATCGCCAGATGGGTATGTTATCAGGTCATCCATTCCATCCGCTGGCATCTCAAGTGCAACAGCGATTGCTTTGGTCAAATCTCGAGCAAGGTTTATTGTTGCTCTCCAGTATCTCTTGACTGCATCATTGAAGTTTGGCAAGGCAGCGGTCTTGCTCCAGAGCCTTTCATCAGCCCAAATATAGGGTTGAATTTCCGCAGGGAGAGCGCCGAGAGCAATGGGCTTTGGGAGATGGTCGTACATCGGGTCATCATTCACCGAATAATGCCATCGAAATTGTTCCTTAACATCCGGCCCTTCACTGGCATTTGCACGTGCGTTACCAGGTGCAGTCCAACCGTTGTGGTGATTGAAGTTGCTTCGTTCAACCTTCCACTTCTCGTCCATTGGTTGGCGAAAAAATCTATTTTCATCAGTTTGCCTTGACAGAAAGACGGATTGCATACTCAAGAGACTTCAATCGCGCTTCTTCAATAATCTCCCGTGATATGCCATGATTCTTGATGTAGAACACTCCCGACGTCACAGCAGCTGTTTTGATCTCACGTGCAATGCGTTGAATCGCTCCAGTATCGGTGGCGCCCAGCCCTGTCAGATCAATACATGGTATCTCTCCAAATATACAAGGTCGTGGAGGGGTGTCTAAAACTTCTCGTATCGAATCTCCATCAGGAGAGTTCAGGCGAAGTATAACTTTCGATGGCTTTTGGGTAATTATCTGAGACATCTTGAGGACTGCAGACCACCTCCCTGCCTGGGCAGGCTCTTTTTTATGCTGAAGCTGAAGCGCCGAATTTGGAGAGATACACCGAATTGTTTGCACATGAAAGAGCTTGATTCAAGCTCAAAGGTGGGATGTAGCCAAATGATGGCTTGTCTGGGCTCCACTGAAAGTCACCTGATGAAGCTTCTATCGTGCAAATGGTTGCTGCATTGATGTATGTTGCCAAGGTGGAAGGGGCAGGCAGGTCTGCTAGACATCCATTGATGATGTTACTTACTTCTAGTCTAGAGAACTATCTGGACCCACACTCCCATTAATTCATGAGAAGAGAATGTCAGAGATTCTGCATTCGAAGCCGAAGCAACCGCAGCGAAGAGGAAAATGGAAAGGTCAAATGAAAGCAAGTACAGAATGTCTGACGACGAACGGAGATTGGTCACTTAAACTTGGTTCTAACACAGAGAGGGCACAGACTATGAGAAAGACGTGAACGAAACGTTCCTACTTACTCGAGACCTCAAGAACACTTTCATGAACAATCCTTTCGTACATCGGACTGTCACATTTTGGCCATTCTCAGTATGTCTGGGGTGGAGGTCTTCGATTCAGGGTGAGGATTTGATGAGCTGGCAAGAACAAACAAGATTCGAAAGCACGAGGAACTTGCCTTTACAGTCGATATAAGTGAAAACCATGTTACAGTTTAGAGTGAAACGTGAAAGTAACAAGTCCAACAGTAGCTTACCCTGATGTTGAGCGGGACGCACAGGCTGTTTGGGGCTTGTGCCGCATTCGTTTTCGTTTTCGGCAGCATCCTGTCCAATCAGGAACAGTATTTGCAACGCTATAACATTAACCTCGCCTCGCCTTCCACATAGAACGGCAAAGCAAGCGCTGGTTCGTATAAAGCAACGGTGCCCTTCTTACGGACGATGGCGAAACTTTTGCTCATCACTCTTCAACTCAGATGGAGGATTTAAAGAACAAGGTACTGTACACCCCGATCCTGGGGTTCCAATAGTATCCTAAACAATTGCTAGGTAGTCATCGTGACAGGAGCATCGTCTGGCATCGGCCTTGCGACCGTTGAAGTTCTTCTTAAGTCAGGAGTGAACGTATTTGGGGTCGATCTCAGCGCTCCTCCTACGATCTCATCTCGGAGCTTCCATTTCTTGCAAGCCAACTTGACCCAAGTTGATGCTCCCGACAAGATCGTTGAAGCCTGCTTGGCAACTTTCGGGGATAGGATTGACGCATTGCTCAATATAGCAGGAGTTGCGGATCAGAACAATAGCGGTAAGTGTGTCCATCTCCCTGAGAAGAAGTACACTAACTTCTTTTCAGTTGATACGCTCACCGATGGGGACTGGGATCGGATCATCGCAGTAAATTTAACTGCTCCAGTGAAGCTGATGCGTGCCGTAGTCCCAATTATGCTGAAGAATGGAGGCGGGAGCATCGTGAATGTTGCGAGCAAAGCTGCGTTGAGTGGAGCTGTTGCTGGAGTTGCTTACACGGCAAGCAAGCATGGTATCGTGAGTTGGGCCAATCATACATATCATGACACAAACTCATCACTCACAGGTTGGAGCAACTAAGAATGTAGCATGGAGATACAAAGATGAAGGGATCCGATGCAACGCGATTTGTCCAGGAGGTGGGTCATCTTTGAAGCGTCAGAGCAATTACTGATAAAGACCAGGAGTTCAAACCAACATTTACAAGTCCATAGATGTAACGAAACTGGATATGAAGGCCACTGGCATTCTTCAACCAGTCCAAACTATGATGATGCCTAACAACGATTATTCCAAGATTGCAACTCCAGATAAGATAGCAAATGTGTTGCTCTTCTTAACCTCAAATCTCAGTTCGGAGATGAACGGTGCCAGTATGTCAAATCTCCCTTAACTTAAGGACAATTTAGGAGCCAAATGTTCGGAAATCTCTCCCAGAGACTTCGGCTCACGCTGCCCGTTAATGAAGAAGCATACTAATTTATGAATAGTAATACCAGTCGACCACGGGTGGAGCGTCATATGAAGAAAATCATGGCTTGAAAAGGATGGCCTTGACTCGACGGCCGAGTGAACAAAAGATTCAATGATAGACGTAAATGAACGATGAAAGTAAAAATCGTTCCGAAAGTAAAATGCACTTGCATAATGGAGATGGATTGCGTGCAACGCTCAGGACAGTTAATGTGCATCAAGTACTTTCATTATGTGGTTCAGTAAAGGCATTGTTCATGAGCCGAATATTTCCTCCCGACGCCAATGCATTCCCTTTCTCCCAGAAAAGTCCTCCACAACAAAAGAAAGCTATCCAATTTCGTTCCCTCCGAAGTTTTTTACACGCTTAATTATCCGCTAGCGGTCCAACGCACCTCTTGTTGTTCGGCTACAATTGTTGGTCTCCGTCCTTGGGGAAAAATCTGGCCCAATCCTTCACACCTGCAATCATGATCATCTCGGCGATGAGGCAGATAGTGAAGACGACTGTGACACCAACTTGCATGGCGAAGACCTTGAGATAGGCCTTAATCAGTCTGATGCGAGATGCCCAGTCGAAGGTCTTCCATGCATCGAGCATGCCAATGACGCCACTGCCGCCGACGATCTCAGGAACAACCTTTCCTCCAAAGCTGCGGTCGAATGGGACACTGCTCTCATCCGTGTCTGGCAAGAGAGATGCTTGCACACGGACCAAGGTGACCTTAGCTGGAATGACGATCAAGAATGAGAGAGCGAGGCTGAATGCGAGGACGCCGAGACCCTTGCAAGCTGTCGCGGTTTGTTGACCTCCGTTCATGTATGCAATCTCTTTGGGCTTCTTGTCCGTTAGACCAGTAGCCATGGCAAGGTAGACTGGGAGGAAGACGGACAACTGTTCCGCAACAGCCAGAACAGCAGTAGGTGCAGCAACCTTCTTCCACGTCTTCATTGAAGGAATACGACGGAACCATGTCTTGGGGCTCGGCTGAGAAATCGCAATATGGGTCCAGGTGAGGGGAAGAAGCGCGCAGACGACGGTCGCAACACCATTCCAGAAAGGTCTTGGGATGTAGCTTAGAATCGGAAAGGCGCTGAGGATTGAGCCAACGACGCCGATGGCAAAGGTGGAAATGAAATACATCAAGATGCCACGGAAGCGTGCCCGGAAACCACCAAGATGTCTTAATGTTCTTCGGAAGCTGGAGGTAATGGGCTGGGGCTTGACCAGTAGCTCTTCAGGGTCCTTGTTGATCGTAGAATCGGGGTCTTCGGTGGAGAGAGGCTCGAATCCGATGGATTCAGGAGGAGATTCGATCATAATGAGGGTAGGCACAAGCTTTCCGAACGTGTAATCGATCTAGAAGACTATTATCAGCAAGGTTTCCACCATAAGAGACTACTCGCAGACATACCGTAAACATCACGACAATCAAGAGGATGAAGGTGGAAACCAGAATGATCCCACCCCATACTGGAAATTGTGGTTGTGGTTCCTCGCCGTCATTTCCTCCGCCTTGGTTCTGGGTCATGGAGGCATGAGCTTCGAAACCTCGTCGGACGAGCCCCGGAACGATGGTGTTGAGCATGTCGAGATTTTGAGTTTCTTGTGGGATGATGAGCGAGGGATATGCAATAGAGAGTCGATTCTAGAACTTCGTGGCGATGGGAGACGGATGTTTGTATTTGAAGGAGAGGGACGAGAAGGAGCAGCAGGCAGCCGTTGGCGGATCGTTGGTTGGAGTTCGAGGGGTGAGGCGCAGGCGGCGTAGAATACTGGGCGGCTAAACCCCATCTGGTATGACTGCTTATTTTTAGTCAATGCTTTCTGCTCAGGAACAACAAAAATACGAGACGGTGATACGTAGTCCACGCGCGATATTTGCCACTGCAGACCACTCCTTCAAACCTCAATTGGTTTGTAAATTATCTCAGAGTGCATCTTTCCAGCACTTGCACAAGGCAAAATCTTACTGAACATTTTTGCTAGAGCAATGGTGATACAACCGCTGTCCAAGTGGCACAGCAGCACCATGAAACCATCATGGAATTGAGCTTACCCACCCTATACCACATGATGAATGAGTTTCTCTGGTTTTCGCAATTTAAGAACCCCCTCAGACATGTATTGATTGTCGCAGAGCCCGGACTTGCGCGAGTCTGCTATAGTTGAGCATTACGAAAAGTCCTTTTCTCAGTTCGAATTCCGTGTTGATGCTGGGGGTCTTGCCATCCTTAGGTATATCGTAAAGTCAGACGTTCTCACTTTAATAGGGAGAGACAAGATGACAACCGAAGAGTCTCCATCCCCTCTGCTGTGTTCAAGCTCATCAGTAACAATCATAGATTACGAGCTCTCCCGTTCCATGGTGAGTGGTGAAATTTCATCTGCTGAGCTCTAAAATTGCTGGGGTAGTAGCTATTCCCTTCTTCATATTGTTACACCTCATTTACGGTTCTGGTTGGCTGAATAGTCCAAGACAGGGTGGTATATTGAGGTTCGACTGCTGCCGATCCGGGAAGCCTCCGTATTGAAAACGTGCAAGGAAAGACCTCTAACAATTGAAGTCAAGCATGAATGCGGACGAAGCCTATTCACTCGTGGATTTTCAAATCATTGCTCTTAGAGATCTGCATCCTTCTGGTCCATAGCCATGACTGCCCTCTGACCTTTGTGGCAAAGTTGGACACTCCTCCGCTAGCATCCTTTCTTATTCACCAAAACTAGAATTTGAGCTCTGTCATGGCAGCAGTTTAAAAATTCACTATTCAATTAATCATTACGATCCAACACTTCATTTTTGAACTTCTCAACTCCCGCAAACCTCCCTTAGCCGTGCGCACATCCGGTGTTTCTAGGTCTCGACGCACGGTCATACTAGCCTTCCCGATTCTCAGCCTTCCTTCGAGTGAAGAGATCCGAATGGCCTTTCATCCTATCATCTGATATCGCCTTCGAGTTCGGTGCGCAAAATCTGCACGTTTTCTGCAGGTTCCCTTTGTCTCATGCGCTGTGCATGAGACTAGTTTCAGTCAAACGGTGGTACAAGACACAACAAAAGGTATTTTCATCTCCTCGCCCCCTCCATCAACACCGACTCAATCTATTCGTTCTTGTCGGGCGCATCTCAGCATCTCAGCATCTCAATGCATTGATACCACTTTCGCTAAGAACTCGCAAGATACACTGTCGTTCCTTTTGATACTTCGGTCTACTTCGGGATTCTTTTAGTTCAGCTCATCGCAATCAAACAACATACCACAATAATGCCCTCCTTGTTTCTACAAATACTCCTTCTCGCTATCGCGGAATTTACGACAGCTTCTCCTGATGCGTCAGGGAGCTGCGATTCAGGCTTCACCATTTGTGCTCCTCCTGGCGCCTCATCAGCCATCACCCCACAAATCGGCAGCCCAGACTTCCAGAACCTCTTCGTTGATATAATCCAATCTTCCCTACCAGCAAGCAAACGATCCTTACCCCATTTCGTTCGGAGCTCTACTTCACTATGTTGCAATGCTCACCTCTCTTGTCTCATGATGGCAACGCTCGCCTTGCCTTTCTGTTATGACAAATTCACCACGAACTTCTTTCTTCCGGATGGTAGCACTGGAACGGTCGTTGGTGGAGCTTACAAATCCGCTGGAGGAGATGTCGCCAATCTCGAAACTGGAGACTACACTCTTGTCGATGGGCAAACTGGAAACATTTACTCGGCGAACCCAGCTGCCAAACCAAATACCGCCACACTCCCCATGCCAAGTCAATTCACTGCATCTGGCGTGGGCTCGGCCATTCCCATTGCCTCCTTGGGAAGTGAGATTATCCTCACTTATACCACGACATTGCCCGGAACCACCATTCTCGCTTCGACTCTCCCTCCATCCACGGCACCAGGGACTACCAGTACCGAGACTATTCCCCTTCCAACCACTACCACAATCTCTGCTACTGGGACTAGTCCGAGTCTTACCGTAGGAGTTGTTACGTCTTATTCGGTTGTCGATGTGTCACCAAGCACAATTCCGGGGAGCACGCTGTCTGGAAGTACCATCGCTGCGACTGTGGCAACCATTACAACGACCGAATTCAGTGCTTTGCCTGCTTCCTCGACTCCGAGTGCTTCGACGACGAAGAAGAATGGCGGGACTAGGGTTTCAATGAATGACAGAAGATGTTGGGTCATAGGAATCGTGCTTCTATTGCTGTTTTGAGCGCAAGACTTGGGGATAGGTCGAAGTATCATTTAAACTTTTCCTGCTGCGTTGCGTTTCATGAAGATGATTCAAATTGCTCAATCCAAGTCTCGGAATTACTACCTTCATCCTAAACTTCCATGCTAAATCATTCCAATGCTAGGTTGTTCTCATCCGTAGATTTAGTTTGTTCCTAAGGCCGAGTTAGTAAGCTTTGGTAATGTTGCTTTCTCGACAATACAGGTGCCTGAAGGCATAACTTTCCCGAAAACTTGGACTTGATGTGATTCCTAAACTGCAGGTGTTGACAGACAGGAAAGGTGGAAACTTGGAAGAAAGCGATAATTCATTCTCATTCGAAAGACGTATAAGATCAGCTTCATTCAAGTCTTCTTTCCGCGTTTGTTGTGCTATGACATAATATTGCATCTATTCCCAGACAGCGCTCGTAAATGCAAGTACACAGTGTAGGCGAACCCAGATCATCATAGTGACACCACTACCCCTCTTACAGTTTCATATCTTCCTGGTATTGCGGTGCATGATTGTGTCCACCGAACTCCCAATACACATACTTTACAAGCTCTTCTTCACCCCATTCACCTGATTCGAATGCCTCTGCTCTACCCATGTAATTGGTGCCAATAGCAGCGCACCCACAATACACAACCAAGTCGCAAAAATCTGCCAACACCATATGATAGTCGCTCCTCCCGGCCAGAAAAACTTGACAACTTCATTCGATTGGTATAGATCTTCTTGAGACTTGATATAGTATTTATTATCGTCTTCAGCATGGACGAGTCGCAATTTCGTTGTGAGATGAACATTCGATTTGTAGAATGGGACGAAGAAGAGGGAAAAGATTTGATGGATCTCGACGAAGAGGATTTGGGATTTCTGGTTGAATTCTGCTAGTGATTAGCATGCATCTGTGCAACAAGGACATTAGTAGAAACATACCTCCGCATTCAACATCCAGCAGGATACGAGGAGAGAGAATCTTGTACCAGCGATATATCATCCAGATGACCCATCTTGAATTGATTTCTCCTATCAGAGGCAACGAGACATGCGAAAAGCTCGGAACGCGGCAGAGAGGGTGGATGAACGTTGAGTCTGGAAGGAAGTATGTTTCGAGAGCATCTCGCTGATCTGCTGGAGATCCTTCTGTGAGCAGGTGGATAACGTGAGAGATTTGTCTTTCTGTGAGGGAATTGTCAGTCAATTGCTCAATTCTGATCGAGCAGTAAATAGTTTCAAAGCGAGGACGGGCCGTATGCTAGGAGTCGACAAGCTCGAGATTACTCGCAGATCCCACTGTCTCTCTAGAATTGGATGTTGGACAACTGAAACTTACTTGGGTGTTCCATTGTGATTTATTGGCAGCTGTGGTGAATTGATGTCGTTGAGAGCAGTTCCAGGTTGTTGATGATGTCTGGAACTCTCGGGTTGAACTGGGCTGGGATTATTTAAGGTTTGACCCATGACATCACCCCCGGACAATTTTCATGTGAAATTCAGGGGAAAGAACATTGCATCAAGAGCCTCAATTCAGAGCAGAGGATCATATGAAGAGCGAGAAAGGCACAATACATCTTGATATTGGGAAACTATGATTACAAATTCGTTGAGCTAGTGCACTGCGTCGATCCGGCTCTTGAATGTAAGTCCCGCATAAAATCATTGAATTGGCCAAACAATTGCGAGGTATGGATGGTGCAAAAGTATGCCGTACCTGAAAGTCTCACAGAAGGAATCGCTAAGACTGCGCTTGCACATCATTAAAATAGACTCGTTCCTCAATTCTAAGTGGTAAATGTTGTATCTCAACTACCTAGGTTCACATTTGGGTACAATAGCGGGGTTGTCGCCGTGATGCGGGGTAATTCTCAATATCCTCGAGATTCGACTCTGATTTAGAAATAACTTGCTATTTCCTTAAATATTGTAACTCACTTACAAATTAGATACGGACAAGATGCATTTCTCTGCTACCAAACATGCATAGGGAACATAGCATAACGAATAAGTCATTGTCTGTGTCTGGAACCTGACTTGAAGGTGAACTAAGCACTCCGGAAAGTAGGAATACTCATTCTGGTATAATCAAGCTCTTCGTAGAAGAGAATTACTCGTTCTAACAGCAAAACTTAGTTGTGCTACAGAAAAGCCCATTGTCCATGACTAGAACCCGACTTGAGAATTGTTCGAGTACCCAATCTGTGATGAGGCACTAGCCTTGATACTAATCAATATTGTCCTCTATTGTCCAGATTAAGGACCTTGCTTAAGATTCAGACAGATGTTCTTCATGGGAAAGATGCAACTGCACAGCTTACGCAGGGCTCTCAATCGAGTTGAAGTATCAATCTATTCCTTCAACAAATTGAGCTACTACCCATTTAACTTCCTCGACGATCACCTCAGGTTCTGTCAGCTGGACGTCGTGTCCACTCTTCCTCGCCTCCACGTATCGACCCTTACTCGAAAGCTTTCCGATTTCGGACTGCAGCTCGACGTCCTTCTCATCAAATGTCTCCAAGAACCCTTTGAATTTCTCCCTGTCCTCTTCAGTACCATGCCCTCTTTCAATGAGAGCATCATACAACATCCTCAATCCTCGGCCATTTTCTCCTTTGACAACGGACACTGGAATATGTCTCAGCATGTCGACACTTGACCCTTTCTTCTCTGTCAACGACTCAAAACTCTTTTCATACTCATTCCACTCTTTTTCTCCCTGGATTCTATTTCCTTCATCTCTCATGTCCCTCAGATGCCTCTCCCATTCTTCATCATCCAACTTTCTCCTCTTCTCCAGGTCCGATACTTTCAAAAACTCAACCTTCCCAACAACACACCACAAAAAGAAAGGCCTCCAGTCTAACGCATCGAGTGTACGTTCTTGATTGGCTTCCACGAAAACCACACCTGCAAGATCTCCCTCTTTTTTCCTTGCGATGAATTCTCGGGCCAGAATGCCGCCCCAGGAGTGCGCTACTAACACATATGGCGGATCGATACCTGCAGACTGGAGGAGCAAATCGAGTTCTAGCGCAATGTTCTCTGCTGTTGGGGGCAGAGGGGAAGGTTCACTAGGATGAAAGCCGGATCGGGAATAAGTGAATGTTCGTATGTGAGGAGAGAGGAGACGAGTGACCGCGGCCCATGATGATATGGTGGCAGAAAGGCCTTGGATTATGATTGTGACGATGTGGCCTGGATTTCGAGCTGGGCCCGAAGCCTGGAGATGAAGTCTATGAGTACCGACCGAGACGAGCTCACTGTGGGCAGTTGAGGTGAGCCAAGGATTGGCTGTCATGGTGTAGACGCTGGCTTTAGGATGGAGAGCGGGGTCGTTCGATGTTGAAAATTAACGTGTTGGACGCTATAGTCTGCTTTGCTATGTAAGAGCTGAGGCCACGACACACGGCCCACTTAAGCGAGACGCGGTATGCGTCCTCTTTTTAGCACCTCCTTTTTAAAACTTTAATAACTCAACAAATACTTATTCAATCCTTCTGCAATTCAACATGGAAACACCTGTAATACTCAGCTCACCCCTCGAGAAAGATAAGGGAGAATGGCCTACCCTTGCGCGCGCAATTATCCGCAGCTTACAACGACAAGGAAAATCTCAGCGCGAGATCGTCCAAGAGACTCAGGTGCCTAGGAGGACTGTACGTCGCATTCTTAAGCAAAAACACAGCCGCAGAGAGCGTAAAAAGAAGCACTCGAAACCTTATTTGATGTCTATAAGAACGATACGCCAATGCATTCGCACTATCTCAAAAGATTGGTCCTCTCGCAGGATGAACTTTTCGAGCCTCAAAACCCTACTACGGCTCGCTCCCTCTGTTCGAACTATACGCCGAGAACTAGCCCGCGCAGGCTACCGTCGCTGCATTGCATGCCCTCGACCCTATATATCAAGAGTACAAGCTAAGAAGAGGTTGCGCTTTGCGCGGGATCATAGGTGGTGGGGCACATCAGACTATGCAGCTCATAGGGATGATGGCAGGCAAGGAGGGGACTGGAGGAAGGTTGTCTGGTCTGATGAGGCAATATTCGAGACTGGCAAGAATGGCAGGATCTGGGTGACTAGGAGGGTAGATGAAAGGAGGTGCCCTGACTGCATCCGGTTAGTTTATAGGTTAGGAAGGACCACGGTCATGATTTGGGGGGCATTGGGCTGGGACTATAAATCACTATTAGTTTTTATGGAGAAGCTTCCAGAACGCAAGGGCATATGCTCTAAGGCGTACCTTCAGCAGGTTCTTGAACTCATAGTCTTCCCTCTATTTGACACCCTTGGGCCGGAATATATCTTCATAGAAGATGGCTCAAAAGTGCATAAAGGGAATGCCCGGTTGCCAAGACTTTAGCATGGAATCCGCGGGTTCAATTGGCCTCCTTCTTCACCTGATCTGAATCTTATTGAAAAAGTCTGGCGATGGATAAAAGAAGAACTAAAGAAATTGCCTTATGTGCTTAAAAGTAAAGAGGATTTGAAAAGGGAGTTGCAAAAGCTATGGGATCGAGTAGATTCACGTGATTTTAGGCCGTACATAGAGCGTTTAACTTGTAAGATTGAAGATGTGATTGCTGTCCGAGGTTTAGCTACTATTCATTAATTTATATTCAAAATCTTAGAAGATTCCATTAAGAATTGTAGTTATTATAATAGATATAAAACTAGGTGTAATTTTGAGGTTCTCGCTTAAGTGGGCCGTGTGTCGTGGCCTCAGCTCTTACTGTAAGCGCTGTCAGCTTTATGCCAAGATATCGTGCAGTGCTAACTAGTCTCACTAATCATTTGCCAGGTTCTTCCTTACCATATCATGCATGATAGCTCCTAATCAGAAAGCGACTTTTGACTTTTATTGAAGCCGCAAAAGTGGGTGCAGCATTTTGGCTCATTTCGTTCCTGGCACCACGTTACGATTTTATGGCAGGTGCTGAGGATTCTTGTCACTGGAGATCCTTTTATCTAGGTCACAACTTCTTCCTGAGGCTTAGAAATGTGTCCGTCACAATCACTGCCATCAAACTTTCCAGAATCTCGCTGCGATTTTATGGAGTTCGTTCTCAGTGTAGATCCAGAGTACTGGCTCTTCAGCATCGAGGAAGCTTTCTCTTTCCGCAACTTATGCACCACGGCTCTGGCGATTACTTTCTCTGATGCCTCGGAAAGACTCCTCCGTGGCGCAAAGGGATCTGGAGTTTGTCGCTCAATTTTCTCATGCAAGCTTCGAGCCCGAGTGGGTTTGATCTGAATCTTGAGGCGTGTCTTCTCTGCAATGTGCTGGTTTGAGGTTTTGGAAAAGCCTGACCAAGTTTCGTAGCGACTCGTATCTCGAGATTTTTCAGTAGTAGGGTATGATATCCGAGATGTTGTGAATGGAGGTGAGGATGTAGGCCGCGGTCTCTGAGCTGATGGCGTCTCGGGCAACTTTTGACTTAGCGATCCCGATCGAGGTGGATGCGATGATCTTGATTCAACTAATCCCATCGTATCTCTTTGCTTAGGTTCAAATCTTTCATCTGATGATTCTTCCGGGCTCGGAGGGCGGTTTTCGAAGACGTGGGGCTTCGGTAAAACAAAGCCTGCACGGCGTTTCAACGTTCGCTGTCGCTTCAAAGACTCTTTTACAAGCGGCCGACAACTCAAAGGTTGTGGAGAAAGGCTAGCGCCTGGTGCTGGTGCTGGTGGCGGTGTGAGTGGCTTGAAATGTCCTGGACCTTGCCAGACATGTATCTTCAATGACGCTCCTGGTCGGACATACTTCTCCCACATCTGCGGGAGAATGATAGTATGGTTCTGATCCACCATCTGATAGTGGCTCTGATGAACAGCTCTGCCAGTAGGATCAGAACTTGGAAAGGTAGCTTTCATTGCATGATCAAAGACCTAAAGACATTAGCCGGGGTATGAAAATCCTTTGAGTAAAAGAATACGTACGTTCCAAGAGCTACACATATGATATGGTAATTTGTGCCGATCGCCAGTGGTATTGGTGACTGTGACTGAAAGTTCATCTGCAGTGTCTTTCAACTCTGAAAATCCAGAATCACGATTGGGTATACTCGGAATCCTCTGTTGGGTGGATTCAACCGCTTTCCCTTCGAAGACATGGGGTGCGTGCTTTTCATTGATATTGGTATCATTTGGCACGTCGACGTCGAGCTCTCGACCATTCTTCAAAATATCATGAGCCAGATTACCAGACTGTACAAAGCCGACGAAAGAGTACGCTGCATTGTCAGGCAGGATGTCCCAGACAACGACGGGCATGCTAATTAGCACAAGCGTGGAAAAGCTCTTGTAAATACCTTGAATGGTGATGTCCCTGATTCCGTTCGGTGCAGACCTCAGCCATTCAGCCCAAGTCTGCAGCTTCTTACCTCCTCCGCTCTGCCTATCATCGAGCAAATAGTCGTCCTCAAGACGGATTGCCAAAAGAACTTGAGGTCCACGAGATCCCTTTGAAGAGTCCGAGACAGAAGTTGGGGCAGTAGAATGCTCTGAGTTACGTATTGATTGGCTGGCATCCAGCGAGTTTGTGGCAGTCAATTTGAGTGACGGTGAATGCTCAATCCTGGCCACCGCCGAATGAGATAGTTGGGATGGAAGAGGGGCCAGCATGATACTCCTATACGGGGTCTCGTTCGTCAAGAAACAATGAACTGGTGTCCTTCTTTTGTGACATTCATATCTTGGCTGACCGTGTTGATCTGTCCACACGTGGCCATTCTCGTCTCTCAAAAGGCTTGGTTTCCAATTTTTGAGAGAACCAATAATTCTGCCATGGAGCTCTGCAACTGATAATGGTGGACCATTAAAAGCTTCTTCAAGTTCTCGTATCAGAGCATTTGTGAAAGAGTGAGGTCCAACCGCTGGAGCTTCGGTCTCAAACCCGCAGGCTGCAATGACTTCAGTGACACCTTGTCCGCCGATATTGACAGCTGGATGCGACGAGTGGCAAGTGTCGTAGAGAAGTAGGACGTCGGACTCAGCTTCCTCAAATAGTTGCTGTACACCACCTGAAGGTAGCGTTGGCGAATTCGATGTATCGGTCCTAAAGTTTGTCAATATAGCTAAAAAGACATCTCGCAAGGGGAAAACCCACGCGGACCAGATCGGCGGCTCACTGCTTCGGTGGCTCAAGCGTGCGTGTCCAGCGTAATGTAAAATGAATAAAGTTTCAGGTCCATCATTTTCCAGGAATGATAGGATTCGTGATGTAGTCGCCTTCCCTGCTGTCTTCCGGGGTATCTTGAAGCATTGTACGTCAAATCTGTAGAGATTTGAAAACACATATTCCAGACGATGCATCTCTCGGTTCACCCCAAGGTTATCGTCTTCCCAACTCAGCAATAAGACGTGGGCTTTGCCATATCGACTCCTCTTCCGTGTCGGCCAAGCTGCATCGACGGCAGCTTGGAGGTCTGCTGCGAATGCTTCAATTCCAGGCACATGCTCCTCCACCAACCCCACGTCATGAGTATTGAGCTTGATGAACCCATTGTCTCTCAGTTCGTCCGAATGGCGGTCAATCGACGATTCCGAATTAAAGTCGCTTTTAACAGGTCGGCTCAACCTCTGTGTTCGGGCTGAAGAATGCCTTGGAAGGGAAGAAGAAGGCTGAGAGCGTGAGCTTCAAAGTCATGTGATAAGTTCGATTGAAGATTGGTACTCACCAAAGCGTTATTGTTTGGTATCGATCGTGGAGTCGGACATTTTCCTTCAGTAATCTTTGGTATTCTTGATGAGTTGCTCATTTTGTCGCATGTTCACTCAGCTGTGCGGCCTCTCGCATGCCTGCTCCAATGTCTTGGATTTCGGACGCCGCACCTAGTAAATGACACCTTCTGTTGTTCTCCGTGCCTCGTGCGATTTCTCGTGAAAAAAAGATGGAAGACTTAGGCAACAAGGAGGTTGGGGAGTTGTAGATGTCGAAGATGGAGCTGACCGGTGAGCGTATCTGGAGACATGCAGCCATGCAGCCATGCAATGCAGCTTATGCCACCTATCGTGGTTTGGTGCGAAGTCTACATGATGGACAACGCCAGAGCAGTTTATTGAAGGATTCAGTGGAAAACTCGGTCAGGACTTATTGGCACAAGGCTGCGCAAGATTGACGGTCTCTTAACGGCGACCTTGTACCACGGATCTCAACCTTCATGATGGAATGGTGGCAGTGTTGTGAAACAAGATGCTGGAGGCGCTAGCTGATGCAATATTTGAGAGATTGTAGTGTTAATTATTCGAAGAAGTGATCGAAGGTAGAAGTTGGACGACGAGTCCATCAACAGGAGGACTATCCTGAGAGCTGTTTGTTTTATGAAGCGCGAAGCTTGAACACAACACGTCGTTTAGGTCGGGTCGCAGCACTAGATACCCTATAAGTTGGGCGGAAGGCACGATCCGCATAAGCGATCTGAAGCCTAAGACTAGGGCCAGGGATGACAGAGTGCTTGATCATGACAATATCACACACATAGACTTATGACCATCTGCCAGCGTCCTCTCGCAAATAATTAACTGAAAGCAAGTCGATTATCTTCCTGTGAGTGCTGAAGTGAACTTTGGCAAGAGACGATCAATTTAAGCGAGGGAGAAAGGGGGGTACTTTACTTAAAGAGGAGAGAACTGATTCCGCTTTAAAGTACTGAATCACTGACGGACTTTGATTCTTGATACAAATTCTGCTTGTGCACTATCTTCAAGTTGAGGCAGGATGCGTCCATATTTCTGGTAGGCTAACATATGATTAGTGGGTTACACTATAAGTAGATATTTTCCCCAAGATTTGTGCATCACGAGTAAATAATATGGAATCTAATATTAGTGGGTTGCTAACCATAAGACTATCATTTATCATTGTGTTCACATGCTCATTTAGTCACGTTATTGCGGTAATCGGTGTTCCATTCGGGTTCTGCTAGGATACTTTTCACAACAAAGTTCCACCCCACCTGTTCTCTTCCTCCCTGACGCCTCCATTCCCGGTATTTTGGAACCACACGGGCTTCTTGTCATGGTTTGAGCTCGTTCCTGCATCACGACTCTACTCGGTATCTAGGATTACTCCAAGGAAGTTACACCGGATTGTTGCGGTAGATGCGCATGCATTTGTGCTAAAATACCCCACCAACACGCCCTAAACACTCCGTGCACCCCAAAGCCCAGTCCTTCCCGTGAAGCCACCTCTACCATATTTTTTTTAATGCGTCGTAAATCATGACAAGTGCCGTACCGTGGCCCGAGAAAAGTCGTTAAAGTCATCAATCATCGTCATCATCCAGATCATCATCATCATCACCATCATCCCGAAATTGCAGCATGTCGAAGAAATCTAAACACCGAAAACACCGAGTCCCAGGTTCATAAGGTCATCACTCATCAATGCTGCCATTCGCCTATTCTCCAGGCACCAGAACACCGCCATATCAACACCAAGTCCACCTATCTACAACGTTCCAGGCGTGGCTTCATCCGGGCGACATCTAATAGAGTTGAGGATACAGGTTGTGGATAAAAGCTACGATATCTCCTCTCAAAGCCGGGTGTACTGTTTCTGGATTGAACTTCTCCTGGCCACTGAGGATCAGATATGCGCACTGCCCAGCGATAAAACGACGCTGTGGACTACCGACATAACTATTATGGTAAATATAGTGCCAGTAACCCAAGACATCAAAATTATATTGCTCAGTCAATGCTCTCATCAATACAATGGCGGAATCCTCCGCTTGTCTCTGCAGCTGCGGGATCCGATATTTGTCGGCCAGCGTCCACAGCTGCTCAAACTGCTCATAATAGTCCAACGGCTGAGCTACCCCTTCATCAACGTATATTGTCTGGTAATACAGCCAGATGGTGAAGCGATTGAACGTTCTGGGATCGATGTCGAAGAGATCGAACTTCAAGGCTTCGGCCTCGATGTAGTCGCAATGGCGGTGGAGGTCGTGAAAGAAGAGGGAGTACTCGGCGAGGACGCTGAGGGGCACATGGAATGATCGATGCCCCTCACTACCGTGCCCTACGGTAAAGGGTATCGCAGGCCCGCTTAAGGGGCGTCAGCCGTGTTGATGGCGGGGTAACTCAGTGAGTGCATATCTTACTCGAGATAAATCTCCTTTGCCATTGATACTGCACCAAAGGTGCTAAGTGTTGGACTTGGAGGCATTGCTATTAACATGTTGAACTAAGGTTCAACGAACGTTATGATCGCCGGCGATGTGGTGGTTTCTTGCGAGCTGAGTGCTACGATGGTAGGGCGGACTGCAATGCGGACCACCTCAACTCATGTCTCAGAATCAGGGAAGAGACCCTGAAATACTGATTCGGGATTAATATAGGCGTCTCGAGGGTCTGCACTGATAAGAGCAGACATGGGGGAAGCAAGGGAGGGCAGCGAAATCGGGCAGCCACGGGTTGGGCAGCCACGTTCAACCAAACCTCTTCCACGTTCGGGTACCTGAGAGGACCGTTGGATATGCGACGGCAATTCGTTCTGGGGGGAAGCTGCTTGAATTCTGGGGGTGGGGGTTGCCAACCATCGCATGTGTATGGAGACAAGATGGGACGATGAGAGGTAGATACGCCCGCCTCGTAGAAAGGAATGGTTCCCTATGGTCTAGTTGATGCGGGCACTAAGGCAACGTGGACATTGTTAAGACCAAGGGTCCTCGGGCAACTGGGAAAGCTTGAAGCACGACATCCAAGACAACCTTAATTCGATCAAGGGCATACTGCAGCCACTCAATCATACAGGTGCGGGTTCATCTGGTCGAACCGCAACCTCTTCAATTGGATCTTCTTAGAGGATAAGGTCACCAGACTATATCAGGTGGTACAAGCAAAGTACCCCACTCTTGCGAGAGAAGCTCTCTCTGAACATTTCCAATTGCCCAAAAAGAAACTCGATTCTTTGCTCTCGCCAGTACCTTCAACTCGAGGCGGCATCGAGACCTGAAGAACATAGACCTATCACCTGATACCTTGGGTCAGCTGTCACATCCAGTGATGTAGAAAGATGGCTTGATCTAACCCTCTGTATTCTTTTTCTCTGGTAGCCAATTGAGCTCTGCCAGCCCTGTTTTTGATTTTGGACAATAAGTTTTCAGGCGTGCATTTTTTGATTGGTCTCCTGAGAAGTTTTTACCACCTGTGGTACTTGTACCGCCTTGGGTTGCAAGAAAACCTCTCTTGAAGTGGTAGTTCAGTGGAGGTTCTAACTATCTGCTATTCGCCAACTGGCTACTTCATCCATCTAGCAGTGCAATCCCAAGCCACTCGTGCAGCATTCCCATAGTAAGGCTTCCTATATTTCACCAGACGTTCTTCCATCCCTCAATCAAGCTGTTGGGGGCTCGATTTATGTCTTAGAGCACCAATTGACACACGATTCATGTTTTGCGTCGCCAGCGCTCGTCCCAGCGCGGGAGGAGTATCCCAGAGCTGCAGCTCAAACCAATCTGCAAATAAAGCATTAGGTACTGTTCCATTCATGGTGTTCTCCGGCAAAGAGCTCCGGTCTAGAAAATAATTCGACTGATCGTTGCATTTCTCCACGCTTATCACGGTGTCATCGCTTCTCATAGGGGGGGGGGAATCTGAACTAAGCGAGAAAGAGCAGCCAATGTTGGCAGCTTCTGCTGAAGCACATCGTGGAGAATGCAAGCATGCCCGAACATCGTGGGGCAGAATTCTGTAACGCACCTGTAGCAGGTTACTGCTTACTGCCTGCAGTTTCACGGAGTCCTTCAGTCATCTCTGAGCGGGAGACGGTGCTTTGCTATTCCCTTCTATGATCTACTTCTCTCGCGGGCATCGACCGAACACCGCAATGAGAATGTGGCCGACCAGACTAATTGGAAGTTTGAATTTACCGCAGCGTGAAAGGACTTACTCCTCCGCTTAGCTCTCACCACAAAATCCGGTACCATGTGGGGAATAAACATCCCCCAAAGTCGAAAATTCATTCGGCGCAGGTCCTTGCTCGGCCATGTTCGCCTCTCACTATGTTTTGTTGGTGCTGCTCCAAAGATTCATGCAAGAACATTAAGTGTCTACAAAACACCCATCTGTACTGAGTCTTTAAAGTTTTTCCATAGTCACGGGGCCACGCTTGTTTCAAAAGTCTAGCATGATCAAGGGTATCCTGGGCACGTCGAGATTGAAGGACGGCCAGCGCAACTTCAAAGGTTTTAAAAATTTAGATTGCAATTTCCCTGCTGTTCAGAATAAGAAATGTGTTGGCACGAATGACAACTCTCCTCCCTCGTACCACATATTTTGATGTTTCACTTTCAGAGTTCGATGTTATGTGTTGAGACGATTCATAGTTGGTATTGTAGGAGGGCAGGGCACCCTGAGGATAAACAACCAAAACAACACACGTGATACAAGACAGTCCAGCTCTCCGGCAACCACCAGAAACAACAACAAGAGCTGGTGTGACGTAATTATAGTCATATATGCTCCAAAAGAATGAGGGAAGAGAAGTTCTTGATTCATTCTAAGTTCTGAGTGCCAGATTATATGCTAGTTGTCACGTGTAGCTAAGGGTATTGGCGCTAGTATTGCCTACCCCTCGCTTAAGCAACCAATCCATCGCCTCCATCAAAACCTTCGAAAAAACCAGTGTAGCCTGTAGCCCCGCTACAGTATGTCTTTGAAGATCATCCAGACTGTTCTATGGTAATTTGATCAAGCAGCCTTGCAAGCATCAGTTTTATGCATTATCATTCAAGTCTCTCTCCATCTTCTGTCCCTCAATCAACAGCAAAGCAGTGCAGGCTTCTACAGGAGTGAAGTTACGGAAAAATTTGGGCAAACAGCAACGAGATTTGCCTCATTCATCCTACTAAAGTCTTCTTGCAAGGTCGGGTTCTTCTCCTCAGTACTCAATGCCACCAAGAACGGTTCAATTTTTACTTGTCTTGTTCATTACTATCATAGTTAAAGCCCATAAAAACGTAAGCGTCGAGTTTCCCGCCAAAGCAAAATTAACACACCGAATTAATCCAACATAATCTAGCTTATGTATCACTGGGGTACTGCAGAGAAAATCCCTATCACGAGCATGCTATCAAAGATTAATACTTGCCTTCGTATCTATCAAAACAGGAGTATTATTCTTGTTGGACATGGGGTTTCAAATGATCTTGCTGCGTTAAAATCTCTTGGGTTTGATTTCCAAAAAAATCGGGTTATTGCAAAATTGGATACATATCTACTTGCACAAGATTTGCAAATGGGAGATTTTACCTTGAAGAATCGACTTATGGAGCTGAAATGTCCTTGCAATTTCAAATTTCATAATGCAAGCAACGACACAAATTTTGCGCTTCGGGCGTTGCTATTGCTAGGCATCAAGGCTATTGGGGCGGCGGAAAGCAACGAAACGTCAGAAAGAGTTAAGATACTTTGGTGGATCGCGATGGAAGAGGTATTATCACCGAAAAAGAAGAAATGTATGCGACGGAAAGCCGCGAAGACACGGACACTTGAAGAGCAAGAAGAAATTCGAGCAAAACGGCGACAGCACCGGGAATTGTATGAGTAAACGTTGCCTTGTAAGTACAACGTCCCAAAGTGTTTCGGAGTCTGAGACTGATTCCAATCTTCAGACATAGTAACGGACATTTTCATCGGTCCTCCATGGCGTCGTTTGATAGATGGAGGCCAGGAGAGCCGCCGGATACCCCTCGGGCTCCCTCCTCCTTTCTCTTGAAGGAACCTATCTCCCCCGATCTCCCAAAAGCTTCTATGAGATCCCAAGGAGTCGCTTTCCTGAACGATTATGGAACTTGACATCATGGGTACACACATTGGGGGCTACGGACCTAATCCCCTTTCCTAGTCACGCAATTTAAGCTACCCGAGGCTCAAGAATCTGAATCGAATCGATCGAATCAACTAACCCCAAAATACTACCGACAAGACGATAAGACGAAGATATGTAGAGACGGCAGAGGAGGAAAAAGGCTTTACCATATTCATCGACCTGGGATTGTGCTAGACTCCCGCGTGTACCACGTCCAGGATGATATTGTCCCCTCCTACCCCCCGAAAGACCTTCGCAGAGGCACCGACGAGTCGATTATGAAGGAGCAGCTCTATTACTTTAAGAAAGCTAGAAGCTAGACTGGAAGGATATCATGGCAAGGGCACGTAGAGATGCTGTACGCTCTGGTGCTTTATAATTGAGAGACTGGAGGTGATATTTTATGATAAACTACTAGGCGTAGAGAGTGCCAGTCTTTCGAGGAGGGGTACCGGAGGCGTTTAGTACAACTATTGCTTTTAGTGAGAGTAGGAGGCAGCCCGAAGAATGATTGGCCGGGGAATTGGTGCCTTCTCGACTAGTACAATGAGCCTCCGGGGCGTGGCCGGTACAAGGAGGTTTGAAGGCTTACTACCACTACGATCACGGCAGAAGGAAAGAGCTCTATATCGCAACGGAATAGGGGAAAGTAAAGCTTGAAGGAACGGCTAGGGATAGCATTGTTAGCTAGGATGTATTGATAGGGGATTTAAGAGAGGGCTAGAAAGGTAGACAGCTAGGAGGAAGAGCTGTAGCCTAGCGGAAGGGTTGTAGATGAATGGTATTTGGAACCGTAGAGAAAACGGCTGGTCACCCTGGCCTGAAAGCGGGGAGTGGTTTCTCTTACTCTCCTGTCCTAAGGCTCCACGATATCACTCCGGTGGTGGGGAGGAGCTATCTAGGGGCGATCCCGAGTAAGGTTCCCTTCCTTTAAAAGCTTAATTCAGTTGCATATAAAATAGGTAAGCTCATAGACTGCGCATCATAGCAGACTCTATAGCGTTAATGAATTATCTATCTATCGGTCTTTACATTTATTTCATAGGGCACTTGCCTTCGGTTGGCTTTGGCATATAAAAAGCAGATACACAAAAGCAGCGTCTGGTAGATTGAAAGTGTTGTATGAGGAATGCATCCACGGTCTCGTTCTATCCATTTGTTATTTATTTCAAACCCAGTGAAATTTGAAGAAGTGAGGACTGTGAGGTTAACGTTAATGTCGGTTTAAAATGTACTAGAAAGAACCTCAGAATCAGGAATACTTCTTTACAAGACTTTTAATAAAATAATCAACAATTTACAACTTCTATAAAAAGACTAATGACAATGCTATTCCCAAATACGAAAAAAGCATTATTTACGAAAGCAATATAATGTTTTCTCGCGATTAATACTTTAAGTTTTAAAATAGTTTTTATATTAATAAAATAAAATTTAATAAATTTAGAAAATATAGTTATTTAATTAAAGAATTCAAATATTTTATTTACATGTTAACAAATCAAAATTATTTTAATGTTCACCCGGAACATTAGTTTTTCCTTGTCTTGTTCATTATTATCATAGTTGAAGCCCACAAAAACGTAGGCGCCGACTTTCCCGCCGAGGCAAGATTGACACACCGAATTGATCCGTATCTTTCAGCTTCCTTGGCACTGAATTGCGCGTCGCTCTTCCTGTTATCTCAACCCTCAACACTGAGGAGATAAGGAATTCAACTCCGAATGCGAAAGAGTGATCAGATGACAGGCCTTTCACATATCGGATCAAACAGGAACACTCTGGCACCACAATGAACTTTGCAACATTCAGTGTCCACATGACCTGTTTTCTTCAATTCTTTATCTCAAGAATCCATCCGATCTTTGATGTACTCTAAAAGACACGCCGAAGGTGGCCTGAGCAGAGCGATAAGATCTTATTTTTATTTGTAATGAATACTTGTCAGGCTCTCTTTGCTGTGGTGCAAACTCGATATTTTGCTCGCAAATGCCTGCTTATCGCAGCGTGGACAGACAATTGGAATTCAGAGACCTTGATGGCTTGTACTCTCCTCACAATTCCGAAGATATACAACCAACTGTCCGACTTCATGAGTAATGGTTGCTCGACATGCAGAAGCGGAAGATGCCGGGGCTCTATGGTTTCGCTTGCATACAGTAAACATCGTTGAAGCAGCCACTAGGATTCTAACCTCACAAAAACGTGGATGCATTGATAGATTCATTGGATGCCATTGGTCTATAAACACCTCAAGTGCTGGGTATTCGCGGGTCTTCTCTCGGCTCTTCAACCTGCATTCAAAATCCTCGTATCAACGCATACAAGACCGTTGAGGGAATACTGTCCAAATTGCGGATTCAGGGTACTTTCCGACAGGCCGTATTCGATCCCCCCTACACACGCTCGACTTCATTGACTGTCTCCCGTGTCTCTTCCTTCTCCCTGTCGAGCTTCTCATCCGCTACGATTTGCTCATCTGCATCTCTCTGTCCATACCGTCCAATCTGCCACCACCTCAACATGAACAGCCTATCCATACCCTCCAAACTCCTTCCCGCTGTCTCCGGGATGAAAAACCAAGCCCATATTCCTCCAATAATTGTAATGACAGTGAACAGCCAGAATGTTCCTGCTGGCCCCAGCCCACCAGCTGATCTTGCCAACAGCATATTGGGAACAGCCCTACTATTTCCATACTGATTGACAAAGTGGAAACACATAACCATTGAGCTCGAGATTGCCCGAATTCTCAGTGGGTAGATCTCCGCATTGAGAAGATACTGCATAGAGTTCCAACCCATCGCCCATCCGAAGCCCGAAATGTAAATCATGACAATAGCGCCCGTACTTGCGTGTTTCTGACTACTCGTGAACTCTTCTCCTTCCGCAAGTGTCGGAACCGCAGTGAGATAACTTGCAATGTAACACATACTCAGTGCTTGTAAAGTGATTCCGATGCCCAATGATCGTTTTCTGCCAATCACATCGACGAGAAACAGGGCGCAGATGATGGCAGCAACGAATTTAACGACTCCAAAGATAGCTGTCGCAAAGAGCTTTTCGTTCTGACCCTCGGTCCCGAGCAAGGCGAAGAACTCAGGGGCATAGATAGTTATGCTCTGAGCGCCAGACCACTGGGAGAGTAGCTGAGAGAAGAGACCCAGATAGATGCGATAAAAGTTGTTAGGCATGAGGAACATTTCCTTGAGAATACCAAGCCAGCCTTGGCCGAGTGTCGCTTCTTGTTCTTCATGGAGCTGTTGTTGAATCTCGGATATTTCTTTGATGATGTGATTATCGTCGACAGGGAGATTTCGAACACGAGCAAGGTTGGTTGTGGCTTTGTCGTCTTGTCCGATCTTGACCAGGTAGCGAGGTGATTCGTAGTTGAAGAATGAGAGGATGAAAATTATACCTGCAAACATGACATGTATCGTGGTTGGGACGACCTGTTGGTTGTTAGATTTAATTGTGAAGCTACTGATACACGACATACCCATTGATTTACAGTTCCTTTCGGGATGTGCAGCTCACTTCCCCAAGACGCAAAGTATGCCAGCATGATACCAATATATACTGCTCCTGAAAATGCACATGTGCACAGGCCTCGAACAGACTTAGGCGCGATCTCAGAGAGATACACTGGAGCCACCACGGTTGTTTGACCGATGCCAAGACCAGCTATAAAACGACCAGCATAGACTTGTCCAAGTCTTCCGCCATTTGTGAGAAAGATCACAATTCCCAAGATCCAGAGGAGACATAGTTGCCGAGTAGCCCACAATCGACCTATGCGATCGCAGAGAATGAATGCCCTGTCAAAATGTGAGTGGTGATCAGTTGTGGAATTGGTTGACTGACAATGCCGCTCCACCAACGCTACCAATTTGTACCATGGCGGAGATATTTCCCTTGACATTTGCCAGTTCGACCTTACTCATCTGATCGAGACCAAGAAGGTGGACGAAGTGGGTCTTGCTCAGAGTTCCAGAGATCAAGCCTTCATCGATGCCTACATCATATGTCAGCTCTGGTCTGATGGATGAAAGAATCGCTGCTTACCTCTTGCAGCACCCATGATACCAAATGAGACAACCTTGGCTTGAATAAGTACATTTATAGACACATCAGAAGAGTTGAAGCTTACTGCAAACCATAGTCGCCAATTCAAAACCTCCTTCGGGTCATCGCCACGACTGAGTTTGAAGATATTTTGAGGTCTGCCGCCACCTCCCATGATGAGAACAGTTGACGAGAAGGCTAATGATTGAGAAGGTAAGTGTATGGGAAAGAGGAGGATGTCCTACTAGATTCTTAGGTTTTCACGTCTCCAAGAGACACCCGACCTCTTTATACATTTCCATCAAAACATACCCCATCTCCAGCTTCACTCCACACCCCGCAAAGACCCAGACTCTAGAGTGGAATAGGATAGGAGAAATCCCAACGAGAAAAGAACGGGGCGCCATAGAACGCAAGCTCCATTGAGCCAAGACGACAAGACGAGAAACAAGAAGATAAATTCTCTGGTGTTGCTAGGCGCCAAGTTGTGAGACGCAGTTTGGGTGTGTAGACTGCGATAGATAACAGGCTAAGTGCGGGGTACAAGAGATGTCTGGGTCTCTCAGGACGCATTTTACGCCACTCTGTGCAACCATCTGGTGGCGGGAGCGGTAAGGTCTTGGGAGCGGGATGAGAGAGGTTTTGCGCGCCGCGAGGTATAACGGTGAGGTTCTGGGCCATTGCTCGGCTGTGGAAGCTTGACAATCTTGTCTTCTTAAGAGGATGCGTGGATATCCAGAGGAATTTTCCACTATTTTGAATTCATGTCGCTTTCAAATGGAACTGCAGAACCCTTTTCCCCAACTTCCAAGCCTTATGTCCCAAACTCATGGTTTCGGCTCCGCAAAATCCCCAGATCAGCGCTGTCATATTTCTGGGAAATGTTTGACAGATTTGACATAAGATCCGTCAAAGGCCGTTCTTCAGCAGATATCGGAAGATGCCCGAAACATCCAATTGTCAGTCGACATGCTCCCTTGGCAGCTGCTTGGCGAAGAGCGGAGTAGCGAGCACGAGTCTCTTGGCAACTTGGCAGCCTGCGCAGTCAGGAGTCTTCGTCTGAAAGAGGAAAGAATTCCGGAAAAGCTGAAGTTGCTTGAATGCCCATAAAAATGAGTTATCGTTGTAGGACGTTCACGGGCCGGTGAATTTTCTGCCCAGAAATTCTCGGATGTTCATGGACGTAGACGTACGGGCGGGGTTGCGACATTCGCCTAAGGGAAGGCTTGGAAGCGACTTAGCGAAGTGGTAGGGGAAATGCAGGAGGCTCTGGATTGAATGTAAGAGTCATGCATCGATCTGTATCGTAACAGATATCAACTTATTGCAAACATCTCGAGCCTGACTCGTGTCTCTCTTAAATCCCACGGGGCACGAAGCTCACCACTCAGGAATCATTCCCGTCTCAGAAGCAATTTGCTCGTCGCCCTTGCAAATTTATCTTATGGTGGAATGCTAGAGTCCTTCCAAACGTAGATTCTTTCTGCGAGTTTTCGATTGGAAAGGTGCACTCGACATTGCTTCTTGCTGAGATGCGATCCTTTGTTCAGGACGTTGAAAGTAGGATCTTACACAACGCGATGGACGAATTGCGTCGAGGACGAGAATTAGAGAGGCCTCATCTTCTCCGAAGAGCATGATGCCCAGACAGTCTACCAAACCTTCCTTACTCCCCGAAGGTCGAGTATAAGCGATGCTTTATCCAAGTCCGTTTAGAACCGCAAGTAAGCTCTCCGTGACCAAAGCCCGTTGCTGCCTCGCCATTGCCCGTGTGAACTCTCGCGCCAATTGACTAGATTGTTGCCCATCGTCGATTGTGTCCGTTGCGTTTTGTATAGTATGTCTTATATCTTGTGCGGGTCGTGCGGAGTGGCCGACCTATTCCATATCAGGGTGTATGGATATTCGTGATGGAGTTGGTAGGCTCCTCGGATTGGGCGTATGCTCAGGATTTCGAATACTGAATGGACTGGAGCACATTGACTGTAGGAAGCCTCTTGAAAGCTAGTCCCAACTAAGGGCTCGTCCTCTAATCAGCATGGGAGTGGAGCTTGAAAGCGCTTGGCTGTATCAAAGTCGATGCTGAATGAGAACCATTCTCTGTCAGCCAAAATCAGTCTTCCATTGAAGAAAGGAGGAAAAAATTCCATTCATCAGACAATGAAAAGAGCTGGTGCTGACCTATGTAGTCTTGTAAAACAATAGATCAGTCAATTAAAGTCCAAAAATGTAGCACCTCCTCCCTTTCAGCTCAACCCGTATCTTTTCCTCATACAAATCCACCACGTTTCCTCCGCTGTGCAATCTCATTCAACTATAATCCGTCTCATACATGAGCAATACTTTCGTCCAGGTGAATAGCATTGGTGAACAGAACGGGCTAGGTCCACGCTTGGTGCGTCCGTGGACGAAACCCAAGTATATAATGTGTAGTCTTCTTCCATGCAACACAACCTTTCCTTGTCTCCAACACAACAAACATCGACAAAGATCATCAACCATGGCACCGAACGGACAGCTACCTAGGCTCATCTACAGCCTTAGGTCTAGGCCTAATAACACCCAGAATGCTGGTATGTATACTTGGAAATGCTATTCAGTTTTGCACGAAGCTAATACATCCATAGATAATATCAACAACCTCGGTGGTGGAGCTGGTGGAGGTCTTACTGGTAATACTCAAGCAACTGGTATGCGGCCCCCTTTCCCCCCCCCAGCAAAGCCCCTGACCCCTTCGCGTCACGAAGCGACCCCGTGACCTTCTGCGTCTGACTTGTATTTCACAAAAGTATCGCAGGCTGCATGCTGTTGTTGTTGAAACAGCGTTGCTAATAAGTTGGCGCAATACAGGTCTCAATCCTATCGTTCCGTCAACAGGTTCAGTCAACAACCATCCTAGCCCTGCTCCCACTGTTCCTTCCATTGTCCCTCTTCCTACACTTCCTCCAAATACTACGGTAGCTGCAACTCTCCCTCAAATCACTGCCGGCGCCAACGGGCGTATTATCAGTCAACGTATTATGCGCGATTGGCCGTATGCGTGGATTGCTACAGCCCGAAATAATAAGGAGAGCAATCCTCATATGTGCCGCCCTTGCGCCAGACAAAAGAAGGGTGCAGTGAACGAATGCTTTGGTGGTCCATGGTGCCTCAGATGCAGACGTGTTGGTAACAGTAAGCACCAGTGCCAAAATGCTCCAGAGTTTAGGGGTCCACAGGATCGTCCAGACAAGGGCCCACCGAAGAACAACCAACGAGGTGGCAGGGGTGGTGGCGGAGCGGGAGCAGGTGGCATTACAGCTTAGTTTCTGCCGGCTTCTCAAAGATCTTTGATCGGAATGGGACATAACTTCAGGGGACAGCACACAAAAAGCGTTGCATTATGGTGAGAATTTTCGAGCATTGGATTTTGATGGATGTCTAGGGGAATGAGATGGAGAGCATGGTATTTTGCAACCGTGCCTGGCTTGGCATGGACTTTTGGAAATCAGGATCTCGGCCTCATCTCTTGATCATTGGATTTCGGAGTAAACTTGGGAGGGACAACATACAGAGCATGGCATTTTCCGAGCGTTTTTGAGATAAACTTTAAGAATTTGAAGTCTCAACCTCATCTTGCATTGGACTTGATCATTGGTGCGTGAAGAGTTCGTTCTAACTCTTTAGTTTCTGAAAAACGCATTTTTGGGTTACTATGTGCGAAAAGAATAAAGATCTGGATTTGAGATAAAGAGGTCCCACTGGTACCTTTTTTTTTTTCTCTAAAGTGATGGTTGATGTCCTTTAACAGTTCGGTATCAACGCCAAGGGCAAAGAAAATACTTACCAAACCATCAGCAATCTTCTTCGAAGCCCCAACATCCATATAATGACCACCAAGTCTTACGAGAATATGCTCCTGAATATTCCCGTACCGTTTGGTCTTGAAACCAGCTCGTTCGAGGGCGTCGAAGCGCTCTGGTTCCTTGCTCGCCATATGGTGGAGCACGGCTTGGCTCATGAGGTCTACGATTCCGAAGGGAGTGGCATAGAGAATTATACATACTGGTTTCCCATTACTAGACTTTGAGACTACCTAGAAATGCAGTACGGATAAGGATCCTTAGGAAAGAGCATCACCATTATCTTCCCGCGGCATCTCTCGCATTGAAAAGCTTCCTTTGCAAACTTGCACAGGTCCTCGATTCGGATGACGATGCCTTCTGGGCCAGACTCATGAACCACACTTAAAATCAGTGCACAAAGCTAGAGAGATATTTTAGCCAAGCATGCTACAGAAACTTCCACAGCTGTCTTCATAAATACAGCTCGCTCGAAGGGGTGTAAGTTCTTTAACGCAAATTGGTAGTATTGAGGGGTGGATAGAGAAACTCAGAAAGCAGAATTATCTCAGACCGCGAAGCAGAGCATCGAATGCGGGTGATCCAAACATCATTCCCACATTCAGCGCTTCACAGGTCGATGGATGACTGTCATCTCGCTGGATCCTTCAAAACAAAACATAAATGCAGCTGCACCACCAAGCCCCAGTGGACGACTTTTGAACTTCGTTCTATCTAATCAACAGTTTAGTATTCAAATCATGAGTGAATTCCAGCAGCTTCTCAGGCACACTTCTTGTTGCTGCCATCGGAAATCCACCCCAAAGCTTGGGATGGAAGAAGTGCTTGTAGTCTAGGTCACTTAACATATTGCTGCCCTACACTGATCCCTCGAAGAATTATCAGGAAGCTCCAATCTCTATACCGAGCACCGAACTTGGAAGCCGGATCCTCTTAAGAACCCACGTTCCTTCTTTATCCCGAATGCGGAAGCCATTGATGATGCGCTTCCCAACGAAGAGAACATGAAGGAGGAGATATCCGAGCCGAAACCATTCGAAATCATTCAAAATGAAAACAAAATGCTCCTTCTCCGTGCTTAAATTCCGACCTCGAAACCAGTCCTCAGGCTACGAACGATGAGTGGTGAAATTGTACCGAGAGATCGTTGGTCTCGAAATGGAGGAACTACCTCTGTGGTGAACATTCTCACCAAGCAACATAGTATCAATGCATAAGCAAAAGAGAGTGAGACGGTATCTGCACTCTTAGTCTCACTTCAGGTAGAATTTTCTCACTCATTGCTGACCAAGGTTCAGAATCCGAACGCATTCAACATTATGTGCGTAATCATTACAGCGTATCCATTCCCCGCTCTTCATCAACCCATCCAATCCACCGGGTATCCTCCCATCTAGTCCGCAAAAACGCCTAAACCAGATCCCAAGCACTAACGCCGCCAAAGCCCATGCCGCACTTCCCTTTCTTGTGCAAATACTCTCCCCTAGACATCCCTCTCGCATCTTTCCCATTGACAGTCGTAACCGCGTAGCAAATGACCGTTTGCCCAGGAGCACCCAGATCTCTAGCAGAGATATCTGCCCACCACCAAAAGTCGTTATTTTCCATGGCGACAAAATCTTCTTTCCTGCCGTCCAGACCCCAGATCTTGATAATGAGACAGTATGGTTTCCCCTTACCGTTTTTCTCGTGGTCCCAGTGTTCGCAGACTTTGCTGAATTGGAAACGGATTACTTCGTTTGAGTTTACCGGGATTTGCTTTTGTTGGGGAGTGAACGATGTTGCAGAGAGGCCATGATCTTCTACTGAGCCGAAGAGTTGGAGAGGTTCTGCTGGAGTGGGGCCGAGATAGTATTCTTCCCATGTCGGGATCTGTCCATCACTGTGGAAGAAGTACTTATCGTCTTGTGGGAAGTGCTTGAGGCCGAATTGATCATTTGACATCGTGAAGTAGCTGGGCGTGAAATGTTTGTTATAAACTTGGTTGCCGACATTACCAGCTCCCCAGCACGCATCAAGAAGTTTCCATTCACCTCCATCAATACGGACAGCGTTCCAAGCATGACCTGACGGATTGGCAGGTGGGACGGGTTCCCCGGGTTTGAGTGCGGTGTATCCATAACCTTTCCCGTGGCCGGTAACCATCACAGCTTCCAGGCCTGCTTTGAGAGCGATAGCGGAGAATAGCCCAGCATATCCAGCACAAACAGCAAGACCTGAAGTGATGGTGTCCTTTGGATCGACATGCTTCACATTCTTTCCAAAGAATGCAACTGTATCGTACGCGATGTTGTGATGTAACCAGGTGAAGATAGCACGAGCTTTGTCAGTTGCAGAGGAGAAAGGACTGCATAGGACATCCGCGAGATAACCAGTCATGTCGGGACCTCGTGGTAAGGACTGCCTCGGGTATTGAGCAGCAACACCATCCGGACCCGAGAAATCTCTGCAGAGTAAACAGCCAGAAGGTGGTGCTGCCATAGGTGCTGGCCGAGCTTGAATAGCACGAACTTGGGAGATAGATGGCTTGGAGCTCATATTGATAGGTGGTGGAACGCCACTCGGCTTGGGAATATGAGCTCCATCAGCGACTCTGATGCCTGTTTTGTCTTCCAAGAACTCCGTCAAGCTGTCTAAATCCCGCATCGTTCGATACTTCTCTGGTTGGTTTCCGCTGCCATCAAAGAACATGATGGTAGGATAACCTTCAATCTCGTATTGATTCAAGAAATCCTTATGTTTGTCGACATCCACCTTGGCAATGATAAGTCGATCGGAAGCAAAGGCAAAATCTTCGCCAAGCTGTTTATAAATGGGGTCGAGCTCTTTGCAATACTTGCAATAAGGAGCATAGAAATCAACCAGAGCAAATTTCCCTTCAATAGTGCTGTCGAAATTCCTGGAAGTCAACTCCTTGACTGCTGGTCCAACTGGCCTGGAATATGTTGGTGCCGGTCTAGGAGCGGGGTTTGGAGTCTCATTTGACGAATTCGAAGGTCTTGGTCCAGGAGTAGGAGGGGGAATCTCATTTATCTTGTTTCCGAATCCCATCGTCAATATCGACCGTGTTGGCCCCGAGGGCGGTGGAAGTCTTCTTTGCGGTTGTGCAGGAGCTCTTTCTTCGCTCTCATTCCTCTCGTTCACAGGTCTATCAGGCATCTTGGGTTGCCCACTTGGTCTTGGAGGCATCTTGGGAGCTATGTCTCGATCCAAAACGGGAGGCTGTCGCAAAGGTAGTACAGGAGCTGATTTGGTCGAGACCAGAGGTGTCTTGGCCGCCTTGACAGCTGCAGCTTTCTCCTCCAGCTCTCTCTTCGTTGGAGGAAGAGGTGGGAGCTTTGCCTCTCCTAACGCTGGGGGTAATTTTCTCTGCGAGTCCACCGAGGATACACTTGTGATTGATGACCCTTGACTTAACGACATCCCCGACACCGAAGAGCTGTGTGACATTATGGAGGAATTCGAGCCTCGGCGGACCAATTGTGTGTTTGGGGACAGTTGAGCTGAGGCTTTTCGAGGAGGTAGAGCTGGCTGTGAAGCCTTTCGGCTTGGAAGAGGGGGAGGAGCATTTCGGGCAGGCAGAGGAGGTGTCTTCAAGGCTATCTGCTTCGGCTGGTCTCGATCGATGGGGGGTGGAGGGAGGAGACCTTGGCCTCGCGCACTGATGGGTTCATTGTTTGCCTGTTTCGTGACCGAGGAGCTATATGTGGCGATTGGTGGATTGTTCGTTGTGTTTCTCGAAGGCAGGGCGGGACGATTCGAGGGTGGAGGAGGGGGAGGTGGTCTTTTGCCGGTCGATTGTGCATTCAAGCTCTTCCCAACACCTTGTTGATTCAATGCCGCAATACGAGCCGATAGGGACGTAAATTGAGGCTCTTCGACTTCGGTCATTATGTCTGATTTGAATCAATCGTGAGGAACTGCAGGATCGAGGGAGATTTGGTTTTCTGCGGATCGCGCCTTAGTGGTGTGTTGGTTTGCTATTGTTCGGGAACAGGAAGTAGAGGCAATTTGGAGTGAATTTCAACGAGTGTAGTTAAACAGCGAACAGAGAAGAGAAGAACGATCGAGGGCAGTTTCTTAGATTGAGGTCATGATGGAAATGTTGCCAGTCATTTCAGAAAGATGTCTGAGGATAAAGAACGACTGGCCAGGTAGAGAATGTTGGTGAGGCTGTGTGTAGTGGTGCTGTGCCGTACGGGCTGTGGCACTTTAGCAGATACTGAAAATACATTTAAGGTTAAGCTCCTCGGCCAAGCTTTTTGAAGCGGGCCCGATCTTCACGCCTCGCAAAAAGCATAAGAATATGGAAACAGTGGCTTTAGAATTCAATAAACTTTGGAAGGAAACATTAATCAAACGTCCATATTCATTCTTATTGGGAGATTTATCAAAAAATACGATGCAGCAATGAAGACGTCAAGCTTCTTTCATGAACTGGCCGCCACAACACAACTGGCGGGGCAGGTTAAAGCCTGTCTCACCACCAATCGTATTATTTCACAAGCTCACGGTGCACTCAAGACCTCGGCCATTATTGCCAGGAACAAGCATAGTGCGGGGTTAGGTTGCAGTTGAGTCACGAACTGCTAGTGCTAGGCACCACAATCACAATCTCATCAATTTTGGCATCTCATTCGAAGAGAAGCTCGATTAATTCCGCTCTATTCAAAGTCTCAAGAGAGACTAGCGATCGTATTGTAATCGCTGTGGTATATAGCATGTCCAAATCCCAAGTCATTCCAAGCCCCAACATCAGCAGAGTGAACCTGTATCACTTCCCTGCATCCAACTCCAACTCCAAAACTCCTCGCCGAATTTTCGTTAATTCGTGCCTCGCTAATTATCACACAATAAATATTACATGTATTTCATCAAATCTTTCCGAGATTATTTGGAGAGTAGTCCTCCCACGTCTTGCAGAGAATGTGTCGTTTGTTGACGAGAGATTCGAGGCCCGAGACTAGGTGAGGAGCGTTCTTGGTGGATCGTTTGTAGCTCGTAGCCCCTGTATGGCGGAGCTTTTTTAGGTTTGGGTCCAAGGAGACCCCCAACGTCTTGGAGTAGTGCTGCTGATCCTCTCCTGGCTGGGGTGGGTGAGAGTCCTGCGTCGTCGTTTTTGGAATGTACAGATTGGAGACCTCCGAAACTTGACGTCTCTCCCTCGGTATCCATGGTTTTCGTCGAACTGTGTCTTCGTGGTGGGTGATCTTCGTCGAGCAATCCTCCCACATCAAAGAATGATACCCTTCTTGGCGTGATCACAGAGGAAACATCCGCTGGACTATGAGCTTCTCCAATCTTCATCAGATCCATCTCGTCGCTCGTATCACTTCTCTCCCCAGGGAATTGCCAATCCCTTCCCATAATCTTATGTGCCTTTACCGGCACGTTTCCAGCCACGGCCATCGGTGCTGGTCGAAATGTCGCTGCTTCTGGATCTCGTAGTTCGGGATCCACACTTATTCCTAGATCTCTCACAAGATCTTCGTCACTTCCCCAGTGTCGTATTGCTGTTCCCCTCCTGCTCGACGTTCGTTCGATACTGTCGCTCATCGAGCCGAATTTCCATCTCTGTTTCTTCACTCCTCGATCTCGGACGAACGATCCCAGAACCAAAGCATTCGCTACCGCTACAGCAAACAAGATCTCAATTGACGCCAAAAGGGATCGATACTGCTGACTCCCATGTCGGTCAAGAATGTTCGGAATCCTGTAAAGTGTTGTTCCGGCCGGGAGTAGGGATCCAGCAAACAGGAAAACCAGCTGAATCTTCCTCTTGACTCCCATCTTGGATCGAATAATGATGGGAATGGGAAAGGCCACCAAAAGGATGTCGGTAATAACATCCGAGGTCCCCATCGTCAACATCTGAGCGTATCCTTGCCTACATTTTGGCCCCGGATCTGGTGTGACTTGCCAATAGTGGTCGAACGGCTGACACTCGGAAAGATCCGCAATAACAACTGCAACAAATGTCACCAGCAGAAACCATCTAATGCCCATGAGCACTCTTTCGTGTGACCGAGTCCAAATATTGAGAGTGAGTCGTTTAAAGAATTCGCTGATGGTAAGTTTGAGCATCCACAGCCTACACGAGTCAGTGATCCGAGCAACAATTGGGTTCTGGGAACCTACGTTGCCGCATAAAATATCCTTGAGACCAGCACCAACCGACTCCCGATGGACCTGCGCCAAATGTCTTCGTCTGAAAGTCCAGTAGTGATAGCATTATTCGTCCCAAATAGCAGAATCACATGCACAAAGGCCATGCGTATAAATAGCGGTATCAAACATGCAAATGCCAACCAATCTTCCCTGAAAAGCTTTTCCGTCCGTATATATCGTCCGCAGACTCGAAATAATATTATAACCGCGGCAAAAATGGTGCACCACCAGCAGACCAACAGTGTCGCTTTATCATCGTGGAAGGTTCGGGCAGGAGGAGGACTCGAGTATATTGACATATTCACAGCCGGATGGCTTTACCACGCCCGCCTACCTCCGCGGAGGGGACGAGCGAGGAGGGGAGAAACTTCGCCGCGATTGTTCTAGGTCTCGACAAAGATCAATTGGGCACATTCCTATTCCGACTTCGAGACGACGGGAGAAGCTGATTTCGAGGAATGTGGGACATGAGCCTCAGCATGTCAAGACTCGAGAAGTGACTTGTCGCGTGGTTGTACGATCAGGGAGCTGGTGGATCCCAGCAGGATGGTTCGTGGTATTGTACGTAACGGGGATGGCAGAAGCGGGGAGAGAGGTCGTCGAGGTCGCTGATCGACGCTGGGAGGAAAGATGCAGAGGATGCAGAGGATATTGAGAAGGCGACGAGAGTGGCAAGAAGAGGGCAGGTCAGGCAGGTTGTGAGGCGTTTCGGCGTGGGACGGTGAGTATTGAAGAGGAGGAAGACGAGCAGGAAGGCGAAGAGAGTATGTAGGACAAGGATATGCGAGCTGCAGCGACGAGAGCTCGAGCTAATGATAGACTGCCAGACAGATTAGGATTGCAAGTGTTGGGTCATAGAATGATGGGGCTGGGCCTTGGACAGAATATTGATTGAGGACCCAGCAAATGAATGATCCGGGCCAGGATGCTTTTACGCCCAGCAACGATAGCTAAGCTCGAGTCTACGTCTACGTACGAGAGTGCGGTTACAATGGACGTACCGTACGGAGTGTATCGCCGTGCCCAGCCCAGACCAGATCCTATGGACCAGGGTGGAGGGCTTTATCTCGAGACTCGATGGCTGATACAGAACAGTACGGTACGCTTCGGGCGCGGTGCCGAAGCAGCGGATGCGACGAAGGGATTTGCACTCTAACGGCGGAATACTTCCTTCTGCTCTCTTTCCAGTCTTCCGAGAACATTAATTATTATGGTACCGTACAGAATACATCCATGCGACAACATCTGCTCCTCCTGCACGTTTGTTGAATTTGAATTGTTTGATACAGTATTCTGGCGGTGGAGGCATCTCCTCCCATCCCATGATTCCATCTTTCCGCCATTCCAGTACGGTATGCATCTGACCTTGCCCTCGCTGGGATGCTGCACCCAAGAAAGTTGGGGGGCACACGATGATTTGCAGGGTCTCCCTCGACCAAAGATAACGCTGGACGCCACCGCCCGCTGGGATAGGCCACCGCATATCAATTGTGGACATTTGCAGCTCTGCCCCATGGCGATGAAATGGCGATGCTGCTCATGCTCATGCTCATGCTCATGCCGCATCCACGGAAAATCAATCACTCCTCGTGCTCTACTTGTGAGGAGGAGTGCTCTGTGCTCTGTTTCCTTGCCGCGGCGGAGCATCGTACCGTCTCGTCTGTCTACAGTATCTGTCTGCCTTCTGCGATGGGATGGCACAGACGGAGCAGGTCGACACGATGAAAACACCGCACCGCAGCCAGGCGCATTTGGTGACAGATGTCAATAATCTGTCGGGTCCGACACCCCTGTGATTGGTGCTCACCACGGAAGGCGGCTGCTATCACTTCTTCAGCGTTGATAGCGGCGATGATCTGCCCCAGGTGCATTTCAAGTCTGACAACACCTAAACTCCCACGAGCCACCCACCACACCGTCGGCGACCGGACATGGGAGCCATCAACCCTTTCTCCAGAGCTATCGAATCACTCCCTCGCCAGTGGTTACCAGAGACGTGGGCGACTAAAAAAATTGCTTTTATCCTTGGTGGAACCTTGCGAGCGAAACCTGGAGTTGGGGACACAGCATCAGAAGGCATAAGGATGGGGTCCCGAATTTGGGAGAGGTGTGCCTCGAATGGGTTGATGGGAGGTAGGTCGTCTCCCGTCGGATGCGATGAACGGGTTGAGTGCTGACTCGTTGTACCAACAAAGTTCAATCTCTGTCAATCACCCAAAGTGTTGCGACCGACTTTTCATTTATCGAATTGCCTGATGCAACACACAAATCCTTCAGGCCGCTGCTCCATGAGAGAGAAAGGCATCAAACGTGCAGAGTTGCTTCTTTGGGATTAATCGAGATGAGGGGACGAATCGCTTCGATTGCAGCTATTGCAACTTAGGGCAAGGTTGGATAGAGTTGGGGGGGGCAAGGTTCAAAGCAGGCAAGGTTCGCACTTGGCAGCGTGGGAGAGCGAGGGATAATTGCGAATGTGTGTGATTTGGGTTTGGTTTAACTGCTGCTAACGACCAGGATTCTGACTGGTGACAGTGCATGGATCTCCGGTCTGCTGTTGGGACAATCAATCAAAGAGCCATGCCGGAACCAGCAAGGCGGTGTCGTCTCATTCCCCTAATTCTAGCCGAACCGAGGATAGACACGGATGCGAAGCATGTGCAATTAATCTTCTTCTTTCACATGATCCTCAAGCTGTGAAGCCTCGAACATCATCTTGAAAGTCTCGAGTCTGCTATTCCCCGAAAGAAACATGTTCCAGAATGCCTGGGTGTATGTGGGCCCATTTTCAGGAACAGCAGCACCTGCGGGAATTCCCATTCTTCAGCAGAGACCAGTATCAAAAGAGGGGTGAGTGGCTGAGTTCTAGAACATCTGAAGCATCGTACGTGCTTCTTATCGTTGCCACTACTGCAATAGCCATCTGCAAGAGTCTTAGAAAAGGCTGACGGCTTCCCGAATGAGATAGAGGCTCTGTCTGGATTTGAAAGGAGTGATAAGACTTCAAGAGGCCCCTGAAGAAAAAGCTGTGCAGCTGCCCGACCTAAGGCGAAGTATAGCCACGTGACAAGTGTCACGACTCTCGTTCTTCACAAGTTCGGAAGACCATTGAAGTACACACTCAACAAAAGATTAATGTTAGAAGTATATACTGCTACAGCAAGAAGGCCAATTTCAATAGAACCAGGCACTTTCTATCCCGCTATCACGTGTGTAATCAACCCCACTTTCAATGCCAACATTCTACCTACTGTAAGAGGAAGGAAGCTCACTCATGAGATCCAGCACACTAAGTATTTCTTTCATCTTGACTTCTTAACTTTTCAACCTCTTCCCAGCTTCGCTGCTTTCTTACTTTTTTCAAGTTGTCGGTTATCAGTCAATTCCTTGCCTGTCCAGCACCATTTTCTCCAGTCTCAGCATCATCGATTCGCCATTGCTCCTTTCAACTGTTATCTTCACAACTCAAACTCACCCCAGCTAAGTTTGACATCAACCAGCCCTTCTCACTCGCCCTCTCACTCCCCATCATGTCACACACCCACTCCTTCCACGTCTCAAAATCCTCCGTCCACCTAAAATGGGACAACTCCCTCCCGCCAGCCCTAACCGTCGACTCCGGCACCGAAATATCCTTCGACCTCCTCGACGGCGGGTACAACCAATTCACCTCTACATCCACCGCATCCGACGTCCCCAACTTCAACCTCGCTCTCGGCGACCCCGCCATCGGACCCGTATACGTTAATGGTGCCGAACCAGGCGATGTCCTTAAAGTGGAATTTTTGAATCTCAAGACAGCTGATTTTGGATGGACTGCTGTATTTCCCTCTAGCCTCGGCTTTGGGTTATTACATGACGAATTCCCGGACCCGGCTTTGAAGATCTGGGATCTGAAAACGCATGCTAGTGAAGGATACACGGAATTTAAATCCGGGATCCATATCCCGATCCACCCGTTTCTCGGCGTGGTGGGCATTGCCCGCGAACAAGCTGGAGAATTTAGCACTATTCCACCCTATGAAACGGGTGGGAATATAGATTGTCGCCACATCACGGTTGGGTCGACGTTGTATCTCCCAGTGAAGGTCAGAGGGGCATTATTTAGTTGCGGGGATGGACATGCGGCGCAAGGAGATGGGGAGGTGTGCGGGACGGCTATTGAGTGTCAGATGAAGGCTTCAGTGAGGTTGACGGTCGAGAAGGGGAAATCGTGGGTTACGAGTCCCCATTATCGGACGACGGGGGAGCATTCTGTGAATCAGGCTCGGTTGACGGGGAACGGGGAGTATGCTGTTCTTGGGATCGATCCTGATTTGAGGGAGGCGAGTAGGAAGGCGTTGAGGGGGGCGATTGATTGGTTGGTTGGAGAGAAGGGGTTGACGAGGGAGGAGGCTTATATGCTTTGTAGTGTTTGTGCGGATTTGAGGATTGCTGAGATTGTGGATATGCCGAATTATGCGGTGAGTTGTGGGGTGCCGTTGAGTATTTTTGTGGGGGAGACATAATTGCGAGTGAGATGAGTGAGAAGATCTTGAAGCAAAGGACGAAGAGCAAATGTGAGGAGAGACACATTGTGAAGCCTTTGGTACCCGATGGGGCCAGCGTACGCAGAACTTCCGGCTACAAAATACCGAAAGCAGATTCCAGAGTTCGAAGAGTGAGGCATAATATATACAAAATCATATTTGCTTTATGTAACAGACATTACGATATGGAAACAGCACCCAAAAGTCAACAGCTATATACTCTAAACCCGCATTGACGCCAGAAGAACAACTCATAAATAAGCCTTAACCTGCTCTTCCGTCCACTCCCAAAACTCCCTCGCAAGACCCGTCCCACCCTCGTCCTTACTCTTGAAACTTGCTTCATAGTCCTCTCTCAGAGGAGCAAATCGTCCCCAAGGAACAACTGTAGATCTTCATCAGCAAAGCACCTCAAAAAACAATACAATAGCCTAGTCCCTCTGAAATCTTGGGAAAGAAATGAGAAGGGAAAAACATACCCCACGTCCCATTCATCTCAGGTGTAATTTCCGACGAAAGTCCACCAAAAAGCTCCGTATAAGCACCAAAGATCGGCTCATGCAAGATGAAGAAATTGAGGAATTTATTCTGAAGCGACCCCGCTGTACGATAAAGCGGCGTCTTGAGATTCCCCGGATTGAGTGCCTATTCTTGTCAATCTCTGACTTCAATACTACAACAAGAGGAAAGCATACCACACTAATAACACCCTCACCACCAAACCGTCTCGCGAACTCTTTGTTATGGAGGATATTCCCTCCTTTGCTTAATCCGTAATACTTAAACACGGATTTATCGTTCCCGTCCAACTTCGTCATATCCACGCCTCCTTTCGGAGCCACGAACTCGGCTGCACTCGAGGATACCCAGACCACGCGGACGGAGCCTGTAGGGCTACTTTTCGCCGTCTTGATCAAGATTGGAGTCAAGAGTTTGGTAAAGAGGAATGGTGCTACGTTGTTCGTTCCAATTTGCAGTTCGTAGCCTTGCTTGGTCCTGCTTCCCGGGGCGGGATTCATTACTCCGGCGTTGTTCCAGAGGACGTCTAGTCTTGTTTCTTTGGATAGGAAGTCATTTGCGGAGGCTTTGATGGTGGTTAGGTCGTCGAGATCCAGGTGGAGGTAGATGAGCTCGCCATTGGATTTGGGGTGAGCGGTTTGGATGCTTGATATTGCTTTCGTGGCTTTTTCGGAGGAGCGGGCAGCAACGTAGACTTTTGCGTTGTGGGAGTAGAGGAGTTCAGCCAGAGCGAGGCCGACTCCTGTTGAGGCGCCGGTGACGATGAAGACCTGTGGTTTGTGAGTTTATGTACAGCTGACAAGGGGAATGTTGGGATGGCGTACCTTGCCTGTTTGATCTGGGAGGTTATTCTCTGTGAATTGAGGCTTAGGAGGAAAGATTTGGGAGAAACTGTTACCCATCTTGGAGGCGTGATAAGTTGCAAGGGGAGATGAAGAATTGTAGGAATGAGAAAGAATTAAACGGAGAAGCTGAAACGAGGAATATATGAGAGACGTAATTCAAACCTCACTTCGGAGACGGTTTATCCCAAACCTCCGAACAATTGGAACAGCTCATGGTAGGTAGGTTGAAAGAAAAACAGATGATGGTCTTGCGTCACCAAAAAAGTATCGGCTGTCCCAAAGTTTGACGTCCGGTTAGAACCTGGAACATTCCGCATTCGGTTAATTCTGCTGCCGCTCCTCCAATGGGATGCCGAAAACTTGAATGTCTGGCTTCGAGCGGGACAATTAAAGTTGAGTTCATAGATGAAATATCTGATCGTGCGTATACAGACGCGTCTAGATGACCGCATTCGCAATCGTGTTCGTGAGATAGCGTCGGCAAGTGCTTTACAGTAGTATGGCTGGCCATCGGAGATACATATTCTCAATCTCCATGCGCCAATCTCCAGATCAATCTGGTGCTCTTCGAGTCTAGCACATCAAATCATGAGACTGCGATACGTGATCGTGACATGTGCATTGATGCCTCCTCACAAATGTTTCCAGGAAAGTTGTCGCGAGTTGCAAAACTCGGATGGATTCTCAGACGGATTTGTTGCAAGTCGCAGGTTAAGCATAAATAATTTAAGCTTTCTCCTTTCCGTGTCGCACGGGAGGAAGAGGCGAGTGTTCAGGCCCGTCAGTCCCCAGGCTGTGGTAGCGGGGACCGGAAGAGCTGAGGACAGTACTGTAAAATTAATTAGGCTGATGGCGGAGCGGGATTCAACCGTGTCGTGTCGCGCTGAAGTCTTGGCATCGCGAGAGGTTGTGTTTTGTGTTTTGTGTTTTGTGTTTTGTTTTGGCCTGCAGGTCGATCGTGGGCAGGAAATACGTTCGGCCGAGAATGAGAATGTTGATGAGCGAGAAATCTCCCATCCGTCCAAGAACGTCATTCTACAACAACATACAACAACATCTGCATGCGTACCTGACACCACTCTGGCATGGAATAATCAGGACAAAACATTCCACTGCTACGAGTACACGCGACAAGTCCAAAATACCACGACTGCAACACTCTCGACTACCCTCCATGCTACCCCTCCACGCTACCCCTCCATGAAGCGCATTCCGCTCACCACTCGACAACATGGATGCAGCGGAGGATGATCAAGATGTGAAGCTGCAACGAGCTTCTGCGGACCTTCTAGCAGACTTTCAAAGCTCCATTACGCCTTTCTTATGGAAGACGAGGAAGTCAGGCAAGACACAGATCAGGGACCAAGTTCGGTCCAGAGATACGGAGAGATTGGTGAACCTGGTATGATACTCTATGCCCCTCTCTGCACACAACTAACAAGATCCAGCTTGAACCTTTCCAAGAGCTACCCCAGCTTCTCGATCCTCACCTCGACAAGTTTGTACCGCTCCTGGCGGACGCATTCCTGGCTTCGTTACAGGCCCCGAGTTCGAAAACTCCTCCAATAAACGCGCATCTCCTCATGCCAATATCGAAAGCGATTTGCAAACTTTTATACACATTCTGTAAGATCAGAGGAGACAAAGTCATTGTCCGATTCTGGAGCACAGAAATAAAATATCTGGAACTACTCTTGACAGCCCTCGAGTCAAATAAGCCTGCAGAACCTTTAGAGGACAAGGACACTGCAGCATGGGACTGGGAGGAACGGTACATTACGCTGCTATGGCTCTCTCAACTTCTCCTAGCTCCTTTTGATTTAGCCAGCATTTCGTCCGGGGATCTCGATGAGATTGCAAAACCAACCATCCTCGGATTATTGTGGCCTCCGGACGTCCCTACAATAACTGTGCGAGCGATATCCCTTGGCATACAATACATTTCGTCATCTGGTAAGGAGAGAGATGCCGCAAAAGTCTTGTTGGTGCGCATTGCAATGCGACGAGATATGCAAAGCATTGGTATCCAGGAAGCTCTGATGCAATGGGCGATACGCGCTCTGCAATTCACTACTGACTTAGATCATTCCACTTACTATTACATTGGGGTACTTTCATTCCTCGCTGCTATTCTCATATCGTCGGTTGGTACAACGAACATGGATTCTTTCACCAAACGGATCTTTCGAGTTATTCAGAACATTACCACTGAGGACTCGGCAATGTCCAAGATGATTCGTGGGTCTGCGGTTGCTCGTAAGGCTATCGTCAAGATTCTAAGGACAATTGTCGTTCTCTTACTGCAGCATCCAGACCCTTCAGAAGATCCAATCGAATTTACAATTGGTCATATGCTGGACTCTCTGGGTGATTCGGCAACACCTGTAAGACTGGCAGCAAGCAAAGCTTTGAGCATCATTACTCTAAAGCTACCAGCAGACATGGCCCACCAAGTCGTCGAGGAAGTTCTCGATAGCCTCAAAAAGAATGTTTTGTGGAAAACTAAAGGAGGCCATGATACGAGGAACTTATCTCGTGTCAATCCGTTGGAATGGCATGGTCTCACTTTAACCTTGTCACATTTACTCTATCGCCAGTCTATCCCAGCTGGAGACCTTGCACCTGTTCTCGACGCCCTTCGTCTTGCCCTCTCATTTGAACAGCGATCCACTTCAGGATCATCAATTGGCACAAACGTTCGTGACGCTGCATGTTTTGGAATTTGGGCTGTTGCTCGAAGATACAAGACAGTAGACCTACAAGAGCTTCATCTCTCTCCAGATATCACCACTATCTACCACGTTGAGGCCACTGTTTCGGCTTTGCAGACACTAGCAAACGATCTGGTTGTCTCTGCGTGTGTTGATCCTGCCGGAAATATTCGTCGTGGTTCTTCTGCTGCGTTGCAAGAACTTATCGGTCGTCATCCTAATATAATCTCAGAGGGTATTCAAGTCGTTCAGGTGGTCGACTACCATGCTGTCGCGCTCAGGACGAGAGCTATCAGCGATGTGGCTCTCAAGGCTGCTCAACTTTCTGAAGACTATCGTGAAGCAATCTTGCGAGCCCTCTTGGGCTGGCGAGGAGTAAAAGATGCAAATCCTGCTATCCGAAGAGTTGCTGCTAATACTGTTGGAGAGTTGGTCTGGTTACGACACCTCGCGACATCTCCGTCTTGGCGAGCTGTTCAGAGTGCAATTGACGAGATTGCCAGGCAAGTGACGAGGCTTGAGGCTCGAGAATTCAGCGAACGTCATGGACTTATACTCGCCTTTTCCGCTGTAGTAGTTTTAGTGAACTCTCAGCTGTCAGCTGAGAAGCTTCACGACGAGTTTCATCGAATTCTGCATGAAGCTCCAGCAGCTACGGATGAGAGTGGCCTTTACACCACGATCGTTAACATCAATGGTTATCAGGTTGAGTTCTTCAAAGAGCTAAGGGAGCGAGTACAAAGCTCGAGACATCAGGAAATATTATCCGAGGCGTTCGCTGAATTGATGATTGCCACAAGCCAAATCCCACAACGTCTTACCCTTTTCGGAAAGTTCGAAGCATCGAGGACGACAAAGACCTTGAATCTTTCACAATGCGGTTCGGAATGTTGGATTCGACAACTCATAATGACCCCTTTAGATTTGAAGTCAAATCCTCATGAGTTTACGGTAGTCACAGAGTGCACTCTTCTCTCCATGTTCGTGAGCAGTGCAACCAGTGCTGCCAACTTCGGCATCCTTGCCGCTGCCGCTGAAAGCTTCGTCCTGCTGGAAAGTGGACTGGTTGAAAAGACCCCTGACAGCTCCGGGATGATCGGACAGTGGATAGTCAGAGCCGTGAGAGGACGCGGCAGCAAAGATTTGGTATACATCCACGTTTTGATACCGCTATTTCCTTTGATGAAAAGTATGGTTCGCGATTCCGTCACTCTGGAGAAATTCAGGACCATTGTTTTGGGGAAAATGGATGATCCGACAATAGATAGAATGACGAAGGACTGGCAGTTTCTCTGTCTGCACGCCATTATGAACAGATGGGAACAAGATTCGGCAGTGGAAACTCGTGCCGCCATTCTAGAGTGTCTAGCTCGCAATGGTATCAGAGAAGATCTCCCCACTATGCTTCAGATCCATACGGGAGCCTTCATACGACTGATCGAAGCAGGATTGCAGGACTTCACAACTACTGCTCGTGGTGATGTTGGATCACAAGTTCGAATCGCCGCAGCTCGTGCAGCTACTGCTATCCTCTCCAGCCCGATGACTGACTATATCCGGGAACTTCTGGAGCAAATGGTTGTGGGTGGTCTTCTTCGGATTGCGGCAGAAAAACTTGACAAAGTACGAGTCGAGGGACAGAAAGTGCTTGCCCATTTGAAGTATGCCTCCTTCCATTCTGACAGTCGTGTGCTAACAGACCACAGTGATCACACTTCGAATCTCACCTCACTAGCTCCGTCATCTCAGGAGTACTTTTCTACGCTTCTCAATCTACAGATCCAGGAATGGTGGACTGCATGTCCACGAAACACAGGTTGGGCTATATCGCTCTTGGAAGGGTATATAACATCAGCAGACACCGGATCCGAAGATTTGGTTCGTGCTAGCCGAGCTGCACTGGTCGACTTTTGCAACAGTGGCCACGATACCATTATATGTGATCAGTTATTCCAGCTGGCCAAGAAATCAAAAGTCGATCGAGTCCTGATCCCAACACTCGAGACGATCGGCTTTCTATTTGACATGGGAATCATGCAGAGAAACCCACCAAGATACGTTACCCCGAGTTATCTACCTGAATCACGTCGCCCAGAAAATACTTGGGAAGAGTTTTGCGACGTCATCAAAGCCACACATCTCAAGTCCAGCAATGTGAGAAAGCTGCAAGCTGTAGTTAAGATTTATGGTGGCTTGATCGAAGTATACCCTGAGGCTACGACAAAGCTGAGCAGTATGCTGCTGCATTCATTTCCCCAGATCAGGAATGCGGTTGCTGATGAGTTGTGGGTTGCTAAGGAAGTGGGAAAAGGGGTTGATTGGGCGAAGGCTGGACGGAATGATTTGATTAAGTTGAGGAAGGAGATCAAGCAGCGGAGGGAGGAGGATGCTTCGCCGTGATTTAGGTATCGGGAGGGAGTCTGGGCGTGGAAAGGATGAGGCCTGTGATGGATTCTGGGACACGGACTACTATTAAAGAGCACAAGGGGATGTACAACGCCGATAGAGAAAACTTTGGAAGGCGTGTCTTTCTGGACTTAGATAGAGGAATGAAACAACTACGGTATTTCTCTCATCAATATCATAGCCCCTTTCTCCATCTCAGCTTGTGATGTCACATATGCTGACAGGTTGGGAACTTAACACTTCTGGGAAAACGTCCAGATAAGTTGCTGGCAGACATCAGATCGAACTAGGAGCGTGAGAATATCGATGGAGAAGAGAACATTACAAGCAATAATTCGAGATGAGAGCGCCCACAAAGACCTCGGTTGAAGTTCGGTCGGTTAATATCAGGGGCAGCAGCGCAGCCTTGCTTGAAGCGAGACATTCCTCGCTCTGTAGTTCGCGCTCCGCGCATATTTGAACAACTGGTGACCAAAAGCCGTCTGCCTTTCTTATCTGCTACATGAATACAGAGATGGCGGATGGTTATCGTTCCTAAATCAATGCAAGACACGAACGTCAGACAATAGAGCGTTATCCACCATGGGCTGTACCTCATCGCCATCAACGAGTCAATTCACTCGAAGCCACGGCACGACCCCACTAAACAACTTCCACTATCCCGTTTGGATGCTGACACTTGCGATCTTAGTGAAAATGCGGGATCAATCGTTGATCAATGACAGCTAGACGCGCCACAACTAGCGGCCTGTCAATGACCTCATTCCGATCCCCAAAAACATTCTTGACAGCTTCGACTATGAGCTCTGGAAAGGCAAGAACAACACCTCAACCTCGATATGGCGGTCTCTTCCGAAGCTCCAACAAAATCCTCAATTCGAGTAACCCATGAAGAAAATCGTTCTACTGCCAATGCAGCCGCGCAGCACATCATCAAGCCATTCGCGTCTCTAATTCTGAGACCAGGTGCCGACGAGCTCGCGGGATCCCCTCGATTGACGCCAAACAAACACGCCGAACGAGTTTGCACGATAAAAGAATCGCAGACTGCAGATACATGGATCTATACTTTCGAGAATTCGCAGGATCCGAAAGTACAGGCTGCAGCAGAACACAGATTATACTATTTTGCAGGAGGGGGTTTTCGGGGCGTACCTGCGAAGGAGCATTGGATGTTCTGTACTGAGCTTTGCATGAAGCTACCAGAGTACGAGATCAACCTCGTCAGCTATCCACTGTCACCGAATTCTCCTGCTTTGAAATCTCTCCCACATCTTGAGCTACTCTATCGAGCGCTTGCCCAACAGTCAATCGACGAGAACTTTCGAATAACATTGATGGGAGACTCTTCTGGTGGAAACATCGCGTTGGTGCTGGGGCTTTATGCAGCAGCTGAACATCTGAAGGCTCCTTCGACTGGGCCATGTCCCGTCGAGACCGTCATGGCAATGTCTCCGGCGACAGACCTGCGGAACGAGAATCCAGATATCGATGTTGTTGATCCTCATGATCCGATTCTCAGCCGAAAGCTCATCGAGGAAGTAGCACATGGATGGAAAGGCGAGTTGCCATTGTCTGATCCTAGGATCTCTCCTATACTGGCCGACTTGACTCTGTTTCGAAAAGCAGGTATCAAGGTCGATGGGGTGACGGCAGGAAACGATGTCCTGACTCCAGATGCCATCCTTTTTCGAAAGAAGCTCGACGAATGTGGTGTAGAGGGAGATTGGTTGGAGTGGGAGAAACAGATGCATTGTTTTCCCTTGCTGTCCGCATTCCATGTGCGCGAAGGAACTGCTGGAAAAGACTGGATTGTGGATGTTCTCAGAGCAAATCTGAACTCCGCAGCAAATGCTTCCAAATCATCTGGAGCACCTTGACTGACGATACTCGGCTTAATTCAAACCTCATTGAAAAGACCAAAGACCAAATCCGGCCGCTTCGACGGGAGACTTTCCGCTCAATTTTCGATCCATATTGTTGGTGCTGACGCGATCGCTCAACATCATCTCCCTAGCTGCCGACGCATGTCTTGCAGGCTGAGGCTTACGCCGGCGACGGCGACGGCGTTTGCGCCGGAATATTCCCATTCCGTTCCCTCTTTAGGCTTCTCTAGGCTTTCTTTCATTCTCGCTCACTCAAAGCGACCGAGACTTGGTCATTGAATGGTGTCAGAACAGTTGATATCGTGATTGTAGATGTTGGGTGAGGTGGTTGGCCAACGAGAGGTCATCAAACGTGTTTACTATACTCTGGGGGTCTGCCTCTCTGATGGGCAACAAGCGAGCTGAGCCAAATGTCAGCTGCGTGTTCCATCGCGCTTAAAGAATAACGCCTTTTCTCATCATAGACAGCGGTGACAAATGTACCGAACAATCTTGCCTTGCTTTCCCTTCCCCATGAATCTCTTCCCCAAGTCATGCTGTCATTGCCTCAGTTGTCGTAGCACAAAGGCTTATGCAAGAATCCTGCATGTGTCGATAAGTCCGACCGCCCGAGGTTGAGTAATCAATCATACAGCAGTCCCACATCGACAGTTCGTAGGGCATTATTTCCCCGAAGTACTGTAGTCCTAGTACTGTGGCCAAAGTGCATTGCCATCATCGTATTGATAAATTTTGTTCGAGCATATTCTACTTCGTACTTTGAAAGAAAGTTTACCGGTGGGTGGAGGCGGGGCGGGGCGGGGCAGTTAAGAGGATGAAAATAGCCCCCCCCCCTACCCGGGCCGGTTATGTCGTCGCCTTCGGCCGAGCGTTGTACTTGTACTTTGCCAGCATCGATTGGCCTGTACCTGCGGGCGCGCTTGTCGGCGATGCAACCAAATGGTATCATTTCCCTATCTTGGCCTAGATACTTTCATGTCGTCTGGGTTTCAATTTTTCCTTTTCGGGAGTGCCCGAGTTGATTCCCGCATGCTCCCCGTTCAAGGCTCAGTACCTACCCGGAATATCTCTGTCCCCCTACCATGGATGGATGCAAAGGCCAAGTACGGCTGATGACGGGGAAGCCATGCGGTTCTTCACATCACGTAACTCTGGGGGCGATCTGCCTGTGCATTGGCCTTGGTGTGGAATATGATTTTCCCCTTGCTGTCAGGCCCGGCCAAGCTCATTGTCTCTGCTCGTATAGCAACCTTATTCTCACCCCCGGGTAGTGGCTGCTCCCATACGCCTATTTCAGCCTCGACTCACACCTTGCAGTATCTTTTGGGGCCTTACTGTCGGGTCCTGACATTTAGCCCCTGAGACATCAGTCTCATGGAAGACTGACTACTTTCCTGCAGCGTTGAACTTTCCCACAGGGCTGAGCTTGAATCTCTGGTGCTGATTAAATTACGCCACTAAATTGAGCGCTGACAGATCGAGGAGATCCACGTTAGCCAGGGAAAGCTCTGGAATATATACTGATCAAGTAACTCGCACCATTGCGGCCGACAAGTTTCATGTTACGACGCCTCTCTTCATCCACTCTCCATCTCGGCTCAAACAACTGCATCTGGAAAGCAAGCAAATATGGTACCTACCGAAAACCAAGATAGTACTCGGCGTGCACCGCAAGTCTGTTCGCACTGCAAGAGTATCAAAAAGGGTTGTGACAAGAAGTTGCCGAGCTGTACCAGTTGTATAAAGTGAGTGGATTAATCAGAATGCGTTTGTTCCCTTTCGGAAATCGCGTCGGCTCTTCACCCGCCAAAAAGGGGGGCCTTAACTTGAACTCAACAGCTCATCCAGACTGCAAAACCGTTACTAACTGTCTTGCAGACGTCGAGCAGTATGCAGATATGGAGAGCCAGACCAAGAACGACGATCCAGGAGCGAAAATGGTTCTCCCTCAGGGGCGCACGAACGTTTGGCTCCAACCTGGGCATCAATTCCTCGCCACCTTCGCTCGAGGTTCTCTCCCAGCATCAGGCTATCCATTTTATTGAGCAACTCATTATCTGATGTATTGCCATCAAGTTTGTCAGAATCAAGTGCTTCCCCAGCTTTTACGAATACCGACAGCGTGGTAAACGCCCAAGTCATGCTCATCATCGGAGTGGGTGGACGAAAACCGGAAGAAGTGGCTCTCCGGTATTTCAGAGGCGTGCATACATGGCTGCCCATTATTTCACGAAGACGATTTCGTGACCGATACGAGCATTTTCAGACATCTCCAGCGGCAGACTTTTCCGTGCTGCTCCTAGCGATGCGACTCATCACCCAACATCCTTCTGTCGACCCGGAAGCAGATCAGGATAGAGAGGTACTCTATCTTGCCACCAAAACTCTATTTGCACAAGTCCAAGCCTTTATGCCGTCATCTCTGTTCCTCGTTCAAGCTGGTGTGATTATAGGACACTACGAGCATGCGCACGGAATGATCGAGGCAGCTTATGTTACAGTTGGGACCTGCGGCAGAATGGCTTGTGCGATAGGCATGCATACCAAGCAGTGTTCATCGGAGATGCAAGGTACTGATACGTGGGCGGAAGATGAAGAGGTACTTTGTACGTGGTGGGGATTAATGATCTTGGACCGGTATGCAGATGCAAGACTTCCCGAAATGGTGTTTGGTTTACTAACTTGCATTAGTGTTATTGGGTGCGATCCTCAAATGCATGGTCGGCCTTTCGCCACTCGTCCTATTCGAGAAGACGACTATCTGCCGTTGGAGTCTTATGATTTGGATAGGGACGTGGACGAGATGCTGGAACCGACCTTTCGATATTTCGTTTCTGCTACTTCTCTTCCTGGAGTTGGGACATTTGGCCGAGAGGCACAAGCCACTTACCTCTTTGACCGAGTAAGGCTGGCCATAGAGTCTGGCGATGCTATTGCACATAACCTATATCACATAGGCCGGGACTTGCAAAACCTACTATCAGTCGTTATGGAACAAGTGGCTGGAAGAGTGGGTATCTATTGTGGTGCAATGCAGATGCTGATCACGTTTGTCTTTCTTTCTTGGTATCTTCATTACTTTGGGCTAATCAGCAACAGTGGACTATACAACTTGCATCAAGCCGTTCACATGCACCCAGACTTCGATAACCAATTCAACTACAAGGATACCACAGAAGCTGCACTAAGCACACTCACACGAATGGTACTCGATATCGCATACGCCTTCAACAGAGAATGTGGCAACGTCAATATCGAGATCTTGCAGCCTGCCCTAGCGCATATTGTAAGATGTGCTCAACAGCATATCCTTACTGCAGAGGACTTTAATGATCCGTCGTGGCTGGAGGACTTTGATCAATTAAGGAAGATGCTAGCATATTTCAACAGGAGATGGGTTCTTGCTGGTAAGTAGCAGTTCACTATTTTAGGTTCTCTTTGTTGATTGAAAACAGGTATGGAGTTGCATCGTCTGAATGAGACTGTTGAGATATCAATGGCGTTAAGGATGTAGCACGACTAGAGCTTGGGTGTTTTATTCAACACGATCTTGAGGTTGTGATACATGCGAGATACTTCAACAGAGGCTCTAAAAGGGGTTTAGAAAGGTTCAGCGATGTTTTACGATACTCCACCGTTCTATGAGGTCTGAAAGCCCACGTAATGTGTGATCAAACTCTGGAGCTTCAGAGCAAGTACCAACAGGCGCTCCGACTTGGCCACGGCATCACTTTCTGCTGTGACAAAACGCTTGCTCTCCTTAGGGAGATCCTCTCACCACCAAGGCAATATCACGATGATGCGAAGTTCTCGACCTCAAGGCGCTCTACTTGCCCGATGTCGTCGACGGGCGTTCGGCCACGAGAATCCTGGAGACAAGCAGCGATACAATGACTGCAGCTGCAATGTGAAGGACGGCAGCAAGGGGATGCTATTGATGGAATGTTTGAATGGATGTACGTCCCTAGGAGTATGAGTCAGATTTGGTTCTCTTGTGATGCTGGAGTGTTGTGATGTTCCAGGGCCATGATGCTGGAGGTCAGTCTGCTGGCGGTCTTCGCGCTCTTTCTGCAAAGCTGGCCTTTGGGCGGGAAGTAGGTGATGATTCGTCGATGATTCATGGTTGTGCAAAAACTGTATGCATAGTGTTCATGGGGTTTAAGTTGGGAAGAGGCGCATAGGATTACTGCGAAGGAAACTGCGAGAGTCTATGATAACTTTCCTGGTGGGTGTTACCAGGACTGGGTTCGTTGTAGTTAAATTGATTTGCCGTTGTATGTACTTGCCCAATGTAGTCTATCTTGAACTTATGAATAGAGACTTGTCAAGATCTGTCTTGGTGTATAAAGGTTTTATGACTTCGGTTACATCCGTTAAGCACTAACAACACTCATGGTTACCTTTTTAACAGAGTATGTCTTCTACAAAGTTAGCGAATTTCGTGTTAGTTGTTGCATGTATTCACCTAACTATCGTTATATCAGCAAGCCCCCAAAGAGGTTACCTTTCCGATCTGATTTGAAAGATCTTTGTAATCAAGCAGTAAATTTAGATTGGAAAATGGTCTAAAGGTCTACAGTATTCGTCACCCATAACACGCAAACATGAAACCCCATGACTATGCAATGCAGCATGCAGGCCTGCACTGTAGCGGTGAAGTCTTTAGTATCAGTGAACACGAGCAAGTCCTCGGCTCCAGGCTCGCGGGGCACCTGCCCGGCACCTCATCCAATTCTAAACCAATAGTAGTACATGCTCAGTCATCATACCGCGAGCATTGCCTGCAGGAAAGGATTATAATCGCTATTGTAATTATTATCTGATGATCAAGAAGCAATCCTTCGGCTGAACGCGGCATCCCTGAGCCATTCTCACCATGCACGCTGACGCATCTTCAGCCGGTGGAAAGAGGTAGCCGTCCACGCCATGTGCAGTGCAGCTACGAGGACTGCATATTGCTGACCGCGCTAAGGTAAGCTTATTCGTTGCTTGTCTGTGATCAGGACTCCCTTGGAGGATCACTTTCTAGACTCCTCGGCCGCATTCCCCGACTTTACGCAATATGAAATAGTTTATTCCACGGCGCTTATTTGATCCAATGAGGGATTCGGACTTGGGTACAATAAACTGCTTTGGGGAGTTGGGGGCTACTGTCAGATTCAGGCGGCCGGGGGATTTTCTTTGGCGAGAAAGGAGCCCCTAGCTTCGGCGTCGGGCTAGTTGGGATGGTCCGATGGACGTCATATGCATGCCGCTTGCTGACTTATACTGCATATCCAGAGTTGGAGCACGAGACTGAGGTCTGCCTTACCATACGCATTCTGAGTGCCGCCGTTTACGGAGGATGATGCAAGTTGTCAGATTAAAGTGTGTATTCGGCGGAGTTTGGAATTGTCCAATGTCGGAGGTGCGGGGTTTGGGTGATTACTCCGACGATTGATAGAAGGACGTCTCCTCCTCTCTTGGTTAGTAAATGTCCCGTCGGTTTTTATCTCAAGCATGGGGTCGTGATTAGAGATGACCCGGATTCCAAATACACTTGTTGTCTGATCCTCCACCTTTTAAAAGTCTCTCTAGTGTCGAAGTCTTGACAGAGAAGAAAGATCCGTCTGAGAAATCGCGGAGTCCACTGATCGTCCTCCATCTCTCGCTGCATTTCAATGAGCTTTTAGTTAGTCTTTTCTGAATTCACCCTGGTTGACTATCTTATTCTCCGTTGCCTCCAAATGCCAAGGAATATCTACTTTTCTTTCATTAGGAATTCCTTTCATGGTTAGCTCAAGACTTTGAAATGAATATCATAACATGAAAGAAGTATTGGATGCTATCATCATACTTGATTCACGTAGCGTCTTTCGTGTCAACGTGACCTTCTCATTAACAGTTCCCTCCTTCGCTATGTGAACTGGAAAAATATTTTCCCGATCCGGGGTATCTGTTCGGGTTTCTGCTGTCATCATGTTTCGTGATTGCCGCGCGAGGACAAGGTTCTCATTGGTGAGGATGGCTAACCTTGAGCGGGGATGTTATGGGGAAGACGAAGATATCGAAGTACTTAAGCTGATGTCCCGAGACATCTTCTTGCGAGTCTCAAAGAATTGATCTTTTTTTTCCCTACCATTAAACAATGCTCCAATGGCGGCCAGCTCAAAATATGTTCTTGCTGAAGTTAGTAGCCTACTAACGACCCTCGAGGAACTAAATGCCACATTTCTAAGTGGAAAGACTCTTGATGTTGAATGGCGAAAAGAACAATTGAGGTCACTTTGGCGCATGATAGATGTTAGTTCATGGTAAGACTTTGCAAACACTCTTGATTGACCTCTCTGATAGGAAAACGAAACAAAAATCTCGGATGCTGTATTCGCAGACCTTGGGAAACCAAGAGTGCAGACTCAAGTATTGGAGATGGGGATGGTGAAGAATGATGTAAGTATCGTAAAAGAATGACAGATACGGTTCTCTAATGTGTGATTCAGATTGTCCATTGCTTTCAGAAGCTCGACGAGGTAAGTAAAAATTGATTTCGTCTGACATTGGGCTCGAGAGTGAATGGCTGTAGTGGCTCGCTATAGAAGCAGTCGAGGTCCCTCCACCTTTCGAGAATTGGTCACCAGTCATTGTACGAAGACCAAAGGGACTTTGTTTGGTCATTGGGTAATTTACCAGCGAGACCAAATATTTGAAGACACTGACTGAATTGTAGAACCTGGAACTATCCAATTACTTTGAGTATGTCTATACTTTAGTCATATATGTCGATGCCTAATATGTTGATCATCTAGCACTTTTATCCATGATCGGTATCATTGCTTGCAGCAATGTAGGAATTCTCAAGCCTAGGTAGCCAATTCTCCCGTCTACATGATTTATGCAGAGCCTCGTGCTGACAGATGTTAGTGAACATGCACCAAACACAGCAGCGATACTCTCGGAATTAATTCCTAAGTATCTCGACCCTGAAAGCTTCCGCGTCATCAACGGTGGTGTAGACGTGGCACAAGCTCTTTTGAAATTCCCATATGGTCACATACTGTACACTGGCAGCACGAACATTGGGAAGGAAGTGATGAAAGCTGCAGCTGAACACCTCACTCCTGTCACTTTGGAACTAGGGGGAGGAAACTCTGTTGTTGTGACGGAGAAAGCAAACATTGAACTTGCTGCGAAGAGAATTGCTTGGGGAAAGTTTGCGATTGCTGGTCAGACTTGCTTTGCTCCAAATCATGTTATTGTCCATGAAAGTGTCCACGACACTTTCGTGGCTGCTCTCCAAAAGGTATGACTTCTCCAAATACAGCGAACAATGCTTAGAACTTTTAGGTGAACCGAAGTTGAGATTGTCAAGGTTGGCAAAATCGTCAATGCAATCCACTGGAAGCGCATCATGTCTCTCCTCGCTTCCACCAAAGGAACCACTGTCTTCGGCCGAACAGGGAAAGAAAATGAACTCTTTATCTCACCAACAGTCGTCAAGGGCATCTCTCCAGAAGATCCCCTTGTCCAAACCGAGATCTTCGGTCCCATTCTTCCCATCTTGAAATACAGCACAGACTCCGAGGCGAAGAATTTGCTTCAAACACTTTCTCCAGACGCACTGGGGCTCTATATCTTCACCGAAGACCTAACTGAAGCTCGAGATATACTTAAATGGTGCACTGCAGGAACTGCGTGCATCAACGATGCTATGGGGCAGATTGCACCGACGAGTATGCCATTTGGTGGCGTGGGTGCGAGTGGAATTGGGAGCTACAGGGGGAAAGCAAGTATTGATACATTTTCTCATAAGCAAGGAATGGTAACAGTGCCTACTGCACCAGAATTCGAGAATTTGCTTGCGTGGAGGTATCCGCAGATGGAATCTCAGGAGACGGTGGGATTTGTGAAGGCGAATTTGGAGATGAAACTTTAACCAAATGCTTTCTGGATTTCGGACAATGGATGGTGTACCTTTTCCCTGAGATTTCTGTAGTCTGTACAAGTTAAGAATAAGTAAAGAAAGAAGGAACAAATCTGACTTTCATGTTATCTTTACAATAGCTACCGATAAAGCCTCGGCTTCTCCCCGGCTCGGCAGTTCAGGAGAACTGTCAGCTTAAGCGAAGCTCCACTGCACACCAAAAGAAATTCACAAACTCCATTATTTGGAGCAAAAAAAAAAGAAGGTGTTTCAGTATTCAAGGTTAACTTTGAATCGCAGTAAGTTTGCGGCTTCTGTGGATCGAACACAGGGCTTCCAGATGTCAATATCTAAAGTTGACTTCATTCTGGCGCTCTCCCATCTGAGCTAAAGCCGCCCTCGGTGTAGATGTAGTAATTTTTGCTTATTGACTTCTTTACGATATTGCTGCTTGAGAGAGGAAAGTGAATTACGTATGGCAAAATGCGGAAGGTGGGGGTGGAGTTGCGTGTTGAAGATTCTGGTAGTTTATTATCCTTTCTTGTCACACATTCTTTCTTTATTTGGTACTGTTCGATGCAGATAACGATAACTTGGATTTCTGTTATAAGATTGGTAAATGCCTCACACTGAGAACCGTCAAGTCGTATTTCCTCTTGTAATTCATTTGGATTTCCTCAGGCTTCGCTTACCATAAATTACAGCGTGTACAGGTTAAAATGACAACTCGTCCAGTGTTCGAATCACTAAGCTAGGCCAGTTCGAATGACTCCTTTCCATCCAAAATTTCTCATCGTCCAATCACCGAGCATTCTCATTCATTTGACTGTCTTTAAATGACTAACGTTGGTATTCCTGAACTCTGTTTTAGTCCCTCTATTGCTCACCCTGTATTATAAAAACTCCTTCTTCCAAGGTCCTTCCACTTTTTCTTTTCTCCATCTTCCACATTTTCATATCCCACAACACAACTTCAGCATCAACAGAACATCAGAATGGAGTTCACGCCAGAATACCAGTCTGGTTTTATCGCAGCTTTTCTAGCTAGCCAGCCCGCTCCTCCAGCTAATGATCATGAAACACCTGAACAGGCACGCACCAGAATCCATGATCTCTTTGAGGATATCAGAAGCCGATACCTAGATAGCATCTATGACCGCTTTTACTCGAAACAAACAGACCCGGCCGATAGAAATCTTGAAGTCTTGGGCAATGCACGGGCTCGCTTCGAGGAAGAGATCGAAACGACTCGGTTCCGATACCAGACTGAAGCTGTAAACCAAACGAACAACACACAACGGCAAGAGCTTGAGCCTGAGATCCATAGCCTTGAAATACAAGCTACTAATCCTAAAAACGAATCTGGTGATGACCTAGCTCAGCAAATAAGACAGGCTGAAATACTTCAAAGTCGCAAGGAAGCTCTGGATAGAGAACAAGTTGAGATGGAGGCTGGGTTCTAAAGAATGAAGACCTACATATCTTCTCACACCCGACCAAGATTTGGCATAAGAAAAGACGAGAAGTCAGCGCGAGAATGTGACGAGCGAATACGTTCACTGGTACGCAAAGAGAGAGAGAAAAGGCAGCGAGAACAAGAAAGACTACGCCGAAATCGGGTGGAACTAGAGAAGAAACGTATCGATCGGCTTATAATGGAGCGTGAGCGTGCGCTAGAACGTGAAAAGCGACTTCAAAAGACAATGAAGGATCTTGAGCGCCGGGAGAAAAAAATAGCAGGAAGCATAGCGCTAGCAAAATTGGAAGCGAAGCGGAAGAAGGCTATATTGGACAAGGAAACGAAGAGAGTTCGAGAGGAGAGGCGTCGTCTTCCCACTGGTCGTCAGCCACGCAAATACTACCACTGATCAAGTGAGCTGGTAGCCTGGATCTTGTGTGAGAGTCTCTATTAAATGTAATCCTCGTTATTTTCGAGCACCTCTCAGTGCACAATTCCTTCGCGTATCAAGATATCTTCTTTCTCAAAGTCATGTTCCCACCAACCACGATCTTTTAAACCTAACTAACCTCAAACTCACGCCTCAACATCCAACTCCCACCCCTCAAACCTTACCGTCAACCCATCTTTTTCACTCTCCCTCCCCTCCAAAATCGGCGTACAAGCATACGCCCCAACCCAAACCTCCCTCCCAGCACTCAACTCCTCGTCGGCAAAAACCCACGTAACCTCTCTAACCGGGATCCTGTCCCCCTTCTCCCCAATGGCGTAAATCCACAGCGTGCCCGCCTCTGCATCGCGCTCCATCTCAATGGTCACGTTCCCGTCGGGCGTGATGCCCGCTTGGGTGAGGGACCAGTCGGCCCATTTCTCGCAGGCGACGTGGCCAATGAAGGGGCGGGAGTTGTAGAATTCGATGCCGGCTTTGATCCATTTTAGGGAGGGTTCGTGGATTTCGGTGCTAGAAGATAGAAAACATTAACCACGGAAAGTACCGGGAAGGAGAGAAGAGAGAGATAGATTTACATCGAAGAATTGGGAGGTGAGAGAATTAGGGCGAGACCGCCTTGGTCGTAAAGTCTCTCCCAATTAGCTTTGACGGTAACTCCGACCCTTTTGAATTTCTGGATATCCACTTTCTTGAAGATCATGGGAGAGTTGAACGTCCGGACTTCTTTCCCGGCTGAGGTTGGGTTGGCGGGTTTGCGCCAGATGTCGGTGGGGGTGTTCCATGGTGAGGTGATGGAGAAGGAGGTACTGGAGGCGGAGGGGGCTGTTGCGGAGGATGAGGGGAAGATGTTGAAGGGTAGTGAGGCCATGGTTTGGTGGTTGAAGGGTAAAGTTGAAGGTGTGAGTTTACTGAGGTCTGGAGGGGTGATGAGAGTGGGGTGGAGATTTGTGGAGAACGTTGTCTTGAAGAATTGAGATTTGTGCACTTGAAATCAAAAATCGAGCTTTGAATCCAGGATTTCCTCACGATTTATACATTCCGATTAGAGGTATGATGCACTTCTGTCGAGGCGAATTAGCATTCATAATTCGTCAAGTTGTCCTCTTCCAACCAATAGTGGGGTAGCGAAAATGTGGGGAAATACTTGTACGTCAATAGGGGATGCCGCGGATAGCACCGCGTGTAGACGCCTTTGCTTTTCTTTCGAAGGTAGGTCAGATGTCGAGATGTGATTCACCATCCACCGACGATATTCAAGCCGGCAAAACGGGAAGCATTCCGTGGGATTGAGCGAGAGAAAGAGCGTAGGTGCCTTGACCTCGTGATAGGTTGCTTATGCGACGTGTTCGGACAAAGATTGGGCTCGAGGCCAGTGAGTGGAGAAGGAAAGGAGGTCTTAGGTAATTGATGTTTGTCTGGGTCGAGGACTTTTTGAACGTGGTTAATAAACTTCCCATTTCATAAATAGAGGACGTTGAATTCCGTTTGTATTCTTAGTACTCAAATATCCGCCAAAAGAATCTGATAGAACCCAAACGCGAACAAGACGAGAGGATGAGTCTGTCTAACACCATTTTAAAATCCCATCCAAACTCCAATTAGAACAAATTCGAACAATCAACGATATAAACGTAAAATCATGACTCATCACCTCCGCCAAATGCCCTCATCATGCAACGCTACATTTCCACTCCCAGGCAACCTCCTCACCTTCCCACTCGCCAGCACAACTTCGCGCTCTCCCTCCCTTGTCCACTTCCTCTCCAGGAACCTTGCAATCATGCTACTGCTCTCCCTCCCAATCTCACTTTCACTCAGCACTCCCTTGGCCCTCTATTTATCCTCGAATTGCTTGACTAGTTCCTCGTCGCAGAACTCTCGTTCCCCTTCGTCAGAATAGGATTGCATGGACGCTTGAAGGATTCAAACATCAGAGGGAATTCTCATCTTCGGGGAAAGAGAGCGCGGAGGTTGTGGTAGGAGGAGAAATACCTAATGGACTTCTGTTCTGAGGTTGCGGAGAGAATGAATATCCTGCTTGAGAAGCCATTTTGGCGCTTGCGTGTCTTCGAAGTGGACTTGCCGTGGCGGCCGAAACACGGTAGAGTTCCGCATAATCCTGTGCTAGGCCGGGACCCTTGCTAGGAGAATGTTTGGTGGGTGAATGTTGTCCTTGTGAAGAAGTTGACATTGGAGATGTGGCAGGGCCGCGAGCAGCGACTTCAGCTGGAATTGAATCGAGGATAGGACTAACGGAACCAGGCATCTCGATACCGCTTAAATCCATGTTGCCAATTTCATCGTCGAACTCTGCCAACAATGCATCATCGATTGGAGGCAGTGAGCTTGCAAGGGGAGAAGCGTTTCTTGAAATGCCAACCATGACCTTGAACTTCTGAAGTAAAACAGGCTCATCAGCTCCCGTTCTGTCAACCCTGAGGATTTCTCTCGCTTTGGCTCGAAGCGCTTCGTCGCTAGGAGTGACTCCTCGAGACATCTCAGCTCTGGCATAATCGGTCAACTGGCTTTCCATTTCCCTCGAACAGAAAATTGTAGGAGGTTTCTTGTATCGCTGGCCAACACTCTTCACATACTTCTGAGCCGTGGAAGCCTTTATGTTGTAGGTCTTGTGTTTCATCGTGACAGGAACATCTTCCACGTATGGTGCTGCTGGCTCATTTTGTGGACATAGATATGGTGGCGAGAAACCACTTCCTCCTTCCGCCTCACGCCATGATCCAATATTGAGAGGTAGACCAGGACCATCTTGTGGAGAAGCAAGGCCGGAATCTCGTTTGAATCGTATCAACCATTCGGCGTTATCTGCAGCAGTCTGGTTCCATGGATCATCATCATCGTATATGATCCATCTCGCTTGATTCTGGATCTCGGCATCTGTTGGAACCTATCACAAGTTAGCTCTGAATATCTCGGAATGCAAAGAGATACTCACATGCTGCATAGGATTATTGGGAGACATGCAGGAAGTAACAAAACGAGACAACTCTCGAACGAGTCGTCCATAACAATTTGCATCGTTGAGAAAGTACTTCAGGGGTTGGACGGGATTTGTATTTGTTGAAGGTTGGTTCTGAATGAGGGTGTGAAGTGGTTTGTCAACTGTGAGGGCTGGAGGGAAAGTCCCACCAATGGCACTGCTGGGACCACTATTAGGAGATGCAATACCAATTCCAGTATGCTCCAAGTCCCAATGCAAGGTCCTTGGTGAAGGGGCGTTCATTGGCATATCGCTTGACTCGGCCAATGTAGGTAGATCCATGGTATCCGCGCCGTTCTCGTCTTTTGGGGCTAAACCATTCTGTCTTTTAAACAGGTGTAAAATTGCTGGATCATCGGCTGAAGTCTGGTTCCATGGATCATCATTCTTGTACACAATCAATCGAGCCTGTCTTTGTATATCGCTGTCACTTGGCGTAGTTCCAAGGGCTAGCTGGAAACGACACCAATCCTTCAACTCGTTTTCCAGACGAGCGAAGTTCAGTATGCTATAGTCAATACTTTTATCGTCTTTGGATCGGATATGCTCCATTGCCATTTCTGAGCTTCGTGGGAGGCCCGCTCGTCTTCTAAAATCTCGAAGCCAAATAGTATCTGATCTGACGAGGTACTTGAACCAACCCACAGCACCTTTAGCCTTGAAGTTCGATGTATTCTCGATGTCGTCTAAAATCTTGGTAGCTTCCACTTGAAGCTCGCGATCAGTCGGTGTTAGGCCAAGCATCACCTTAGACTTGACCCAAGTCATCAACGCTCGTTCTTTGGGGCAGGCAATGGTGTGCAAATTGGTGGTATCGTGAGGTGCCAATTGGGTGGTTCTACTGAGCCTCTCGCCCCATGACAAGAGATTGTTTTCTGGCCCGTCACAAGACGTGTCATTGTCACAGCCATGAAGCATGAGTAGGTCGCGGAACCAAGACACTTGCGGTAGAGTGGGTCCGACGGTGAACTGGTCCGCCTTGCGTACAATCTCGCGGGCCTCTCGAAGCAGATCGGCGTCTGTTGGTACTCCACCTTTCAAGAGAACGTCGTGAAGATACTCCACCAGTCCAATCTTCACCACATCCTCGAGTGTCTTCTCATCTCCTGCAAATTCCTTTGAGGCTTCGTATGGATTCATGGAATTTCGTTCGTCGTGAATGAGATACGGCGGCATTCCATTCTCGACAATGTCCAAGATTTCTGGTTCGAAACCCCAATCACCCTTCCAATCAGCCATAGAATTACCACCTTTAAAATGTTCTGCAAGATGATCCACTCTGATGCTCCAAGTATCTAGAACAATTCCACAGAAACCGCAGCGGGAACGAATTTCAGGAGTCACCACTTTCCAACTCTCCATAGAGAAGCTTTGGAACTTCACATCGTGGACCAGATTCAGATGTTGACGCAGATGATCTTTTCGATAGAATGTCCTCTCTTCCAAAGATCGTTCTGCGCAACTAGAGTAATTGTGAACTTCTCCGTGGTCTTCCGGCGGGTTGGGCAACCCGCAGAACACACATCTATTGTGCCCATAATCCGCGCAGTATTGAGTGACGCCGGCAGGACAACAAACCCAACGCTCTAGAGACAAGTGCAACGACTTCTCATGCCTTTGCCAGTCGTGCTTTGTCTTGAAGGTTTCGGTACAGAAAGTGCATTGATAAGTGCGAGCAGGAGCTATCATGGGGTTGACCTTTACAGGTTTCGGTGCTGGTCGACGACGACGCCTTCGTCCTCTCTGGCCGAAGGAACCAAAAGATCCGAAAGAACCTCGAGATTTGTGAGAGAAAGCAGAAGCAAAGGAGTTGCCACTGGAACCAGAGGTGCCCAAACTGCTCGTTGAGGAAACATTGCAGAGAGAGCGACTTGATCCGTCATCGGTTTGGCTGTGGCCATAGCTGAATGGGCTGTCAAGACCTGAAGAGTACGTCGAAGAAGTGACGGCCTTGGCAATAGCAGTGATGGCAGCAGGTTCGTTTTCTGGAGGGGAGTTCTTCCATCTTTCAAGGGGATTCATATTCTCAAATGCTGGGGTGGCTCGTCTTGGGATGTCCATCCCATGGACATAGTTGCTGACGTTAGGTGACACAGATCGTGGTGGGCGAACCTTGCCTCTTCGACGGGCATTGGCGAGCCAGTTGGTGATCTGAGTCTTATTGAGACCCGTCTGTCGCCTGAGACTCTCTTTCTCCTCATCTGTGGGATAGGGATGACTATGATGAGTCGACAACCAGTTCCGGAGAACTTTGATGGCTTCCCGTGAGAATCTTGCGCCAACCTTTGGATTGTTCTCAAGACTCGCATTGATGTTCTCGTCCGAAGACCTGAGAGACACATGCTTGGAGCTAGACCTACTACTCCCATGGAAAGAGTCTGGTCTGCGGGGTGACGCCAATGGGGCGTCCGAAGGAAGGATGGTATCTTCCATGTTCCAGTCCAAGTAGTCTTGGGGGAGTTGTGACTCAGACCATTGATCCGGTCCATCATACTCTGCAACATCCATCCCAAGGTCCAAGTCTTGGTCGTCATTGTTAAGTTGAGGACCTGGAACTGTCAAGCTACAGGTCCGAGCTAAGGCGACACAGCTTGTACATGAACCCTTCCGCACACCTTCCTTGATGACCTTGCAGTGAATCCGCATCCGAGAACAATAGGCACACGGCTTAGTGGGTACATTCATTCCCTCAATCCACCTTTGGAAGTCCGTAAAGTCGGCTGGACTCATCATGGTAGTATCTGTCACCGGATGCTGGAGGTCAAAGTGCTGTTGCTCGGGGGCGGAGAAGTGTTGAAGGGCGGTAAACGAGTCTTCATCATTCTCGGGCTCGTTAAAAGCCAGGTCGATATCATAGGGGCCAGATTCTAAATTGGCAAAATCAAAATCATGCTGGGCCAATGGATGGGCCGCAGCGTCGAAATTGAAGAACTCGTCCATTGCCTCTTCGTGGATGGTGGTCATTCAGAGGGCGCTGAGACGGGAGGCGGGAAACACAATCTGAGGCGAACCCGACACCCACGAACTGGGCAGGTCGAGTGAGACGACAGTGGATTGTGATGATAAAACTGTAGATGGGGGGGGGAAGAATCAAAGAAAAGGCGTGAAGGATGGGTAGGTAGGTAAGGTTGAAGTAGGCTGGCCGGTTGGCATCAATATACGTGATCCTGCCTCCGTACCCTGACCTGAGCATCTCTGGTACTGGACTGGACTGAACAGTCATCGCACCCTAGCCCGCACTAGGGTTGGCGGTGGTGGATGTCGATTGACGAGCACATTGACGAGTTGCGCCCTTCAGCATCCGCTTACGTGCAAGTCGTCTCCGTTATCGTGCCACTGCAATTCTCCCGATTGGCCATGGAACACTATCCACGACCCCCCCAACGGCTTCCACCGTCTTCTGCTGCGGAGCGTGCATGAAATGATGGATGCTCTTTTCTGCACGCTGCACAGAGGTGCATCTGGCTGACTGGCAAGTCCTCAATTAGGGGGAAACCTTCATGATCGCCGGGGATAAAGACGCTTCGGTTTCCCCCGCGGTCGCGCGAAGTGACTTGTGTGTGGTCACTTCGGTATTTGAACCATGGCAAAACATGGAACGAATCCCATCCGATGCTGACCCGAGGAGAAGATCGTAGAAGCCGACATCGCTAAAATGAACGAGCTGGCTGAGCTCATCAACACCTGTCATCATCGAAATGCCGGAGAGATTGTGAAACGCATGAGTATGCGCAGCAATCTGTCTGTACTGTATATATGTGCGCGTGTGGCGGGGTGGATGTTGGCTTTGAGATAAAAGTTGACGCGAAGTCACGATGTAAGATGAGGACAGTTCCTGATCACGTGTGGACTCGAAGTTAGCTGGCCTGCATCGCCCTAAAAGTTTCAGAGAGCAATTGATTGTTCGTATCACGCGTTATTAGAATGTCGATGTTTTTACATTTCGTTGGTTCATCAAGTCTGTACCTACCCACCCAAGTGGAGGAGGAGATCCTTTCTTGTCCTGTGAGTCTACTTCCATCTGTCAATGTCGAACCTCCCCTTCTCGATCATGAATCGGCCCGTGAACTCTCCCAAATACTGTCGCTGCATAATAGGGGTTTGCAGCAATGTGGCTGAGCGCGGTTATTCAATGCTTAAATTTTCAACCCCGCGTTGTGCCACCTCAGCATCACCACCAAGATACACACTCGTTTCAGTTTTCAATGTTGGGCTGATTCTTCTCAGTTGCATAGTATTCTGTCGAATCATAATTCCAGAGCAGTTTCTCGGTCAAGGGGGAATGTTACTATTCAGCTCGTCTTAACCCAATCTTCACGACTGAGAGTGTGTTTGGATGCTACCTGTTTCATTATCATGCCATTATTGAGAAACAACAAGGCAGATTCACTCTTTGTCCCCTTCAGAGGATGACCTCTGGTCTCAGAAATATATGTCTGTACTAGTAGTGCGGGACAATAAGGCATATTTGCTCGCATCATGTCTGGAGTCTTCGACTCGGTGGTGTTTGGTTCTAGTCGATTCATATCGATACCCGACTCATATCGATCGACCAATGAGGAAAAGCAAGGTAGATTGTTTTGTGTGTCTTTTGAGACAATTGAACTGCGTGGCTATGTATTCTGCAGTGCCGTGCTCATTTTCTCAAGCATCGGCATCATTTTCAAGCATACGTCGCAGCACTGCCAGGCTCGTTGTTCTTTGAACCACTCGTTGTGAGGATAATTTCCAGCTTTGGTGTCAACTTTTGCAAATGGGATACCCTTCCGAAACTGCACTGATTCAGATCGTCACCAAAGCAACCATTGGTATTTCGATTGACGGCAGATAGATATAATTTGAATCAGACGACGACGTTGTTGAGCTCTTCGCCCATGTGTTTCATGCTGACATTCTCATCAGACTCTATAAGGCTTAGTGTAGTTTTCGCTGAGATTTTGCAAGACTCTCTTGCAGAGAGATTGTATATACTTACTGTATATACTGATTTGTCTGGCAGCAGCTTGAACTTCTTGAGTCATACCTTCCCTAACAGCACCATACATTTCTTACAGGTAACCCCACTATACACCAACCAGGGTATACATATCTCCCATCCTCTTCAAACGTCTATTTAACATTACTTCTCAAAAGGACTATCGAAGTCTCGCAGTTTTCAAAAGGTTCAGATAGAATTCAAGGACGACCGAGCTATGTGGAGGTAATTTAACTTCAAAACGATGGGGTTAAGATTGATCTTGAGGTGTCACTTGGATTCGTGGTCAATGAGACCATATTCGCTGGTCTGTTGATACAGTGGAGGGCTCGAGAGAAGTCACGCAGTAGATCCAAAACCTCATTCGTTGATCTCCTTATCGATAATTTTGCATACTAAATTCCTTTCTCTTATCTATTTCTCCATATCTCTTCTCAGAATTGAATACTTTTCGTGCAATGCTCCCCAATTTATTCCCGAGCAGAACATCATGACCTAGTAGTGACTTTGCAGAAATCTACACCCCCGATTTACTGTAAACACTTTGCAGAGATGAGATCCAGAATCGATTCCAGCGCTTTACGCGCAGCTTGCGCATTCAGCGCGGATTGCGCAATTTGCGCCCTCAGCGGAATCTGCGCTATATACGTACCAACCTCATCTCTCTCTCGCTTACACTCCCCCATGATACTTCGTTATACACCATTCTCTCTAAGTCTCTGCTTTCTTTCGACTCAGCTACATAATCAGCGAAGGCTCAATTCGAATTTGAAATTCAGGAGATTTAGAACACATCAAACAGAATATGGTTGTACTCAGCTACAGAACAGCTTCCTTATCCTATGTGATTCCAGACTTTATCTCCACGTAAAGTTGGGTCTTGTTGAGAACGCAGAAGGAAGAGGCATGAAAGTAGGGACTCGTGAATGCATTGGAATTTGCAAAGCTGCAATGAATGGCAATGGTTGCCCTCCAAACACAGCTTTAACATTCAAAAGTAGGACATTGCTGATCTCATGAAGCAGAACTAATATCTGAGAATTTGTTAAGAACAAGCTTGATTATGCTACACTGATGCTACCATGTATAAACACATTTTATCTACCCAGCACAACTTGGAGCTAGGAAGTAGGCAATGCCAATGGATATTCGCAAAGGAAAGAAGACATGCAAATGCAGTATTATACCGCGCCAATAGATGCCCCATATTCCTCCGACCATAACCTCTTACACCGATCCACCACCCTACGCCTCCTTCCGCGCCAGCCTGTACCTTTCCTAACCCCATTAGATCCGTATCTCAGAGTCTCGTTTCGAACATTATCCCCCCTCTCCACCATTCACCTCTCCCTTCTACTCCCACTACTCCTCCTTCCCCCAACAGCCCCCGCATACGCCCCCGGATCCACAGTCCTATACCCACTCTCCCTCCTCTCCCTCTCCTCCCGCTCCCTCACACTCTTCTTCCTCCTCGGCGGACTATGCTCCTCAATAACCACCACCTCATCACTCCCCCTACTAACCTCCCTCGGCCGCTCCCGACTCCTATGCTCCTCCACGATAACCGTTTCCCTGACCGGCTCCCGCATCGGCGGCGGCATCGGCATCGGCATAGGCACAATGCGCACTGGACTCGGCGCTCTCCTCACCTCGACCGTTTCGCTGACCCTTCTACTCCTTGTGCTGCCGTGACGACTTTTCCTCCGATCGTGTACCACGACTTCTTCTTCGTACGAGGAGCGCGAGCCCCAGCCGCCGAGGCTGAGACAGGTGTATATGAGCCAGAGGAGCAGGAGGAAACCTCCTACGCTGCCGAGGACGATGCCGACGACTGTTCCGGGCGCGGGACCGCTGTTTATGCTCCCGTATGTCGTGGGTATGATGGAAGGGTTGCTGTTCTGGCGGGGTACCAGTTGCAGGATTCTCGTGGGAAGGGATCGAGTCGCGACGGAGGAGACGTGGAGAGAGCGATCGACGAGTGATCTCAGAGTGGCAGACGCAGATTGCGTAATTGGAGGCATTGCGACAGCGACGAGCGTCGCCGGGTTCTTTGCTGGCTTCTTTGCGATGCGAAAGTGAAGGGTGTATTTGTTTGTTATAATGGGGATTGTTTATCGCGATAGGTGATGGTGAGGATCCCCACTGTCCGAGCTTTGAAACTGATGATGTCGGGTAACCTCGAACCGTTGATTCGAGATCTTGGATCCCCTCGGATGGAGCCGAAGTGAATTGATGGGGGAGATAATTTGGATGAAACGAATGTCTGGAATATTGGACAGGATGTGTATAAGAAGAGAGGGAGGGGAGAGATGGAAGATGGAAGCTCTGGGATATCACGCAGGAATCATGATGTTGGTTGTCTGCAGAAGCAATTCGACCGCGGTGGCCCCAAATCCAAAGCCTTGTTTCTGCAGGTCGGACAGCTGCTGAAACCCACTCTTTCTCCGAACCCGTTCTTCCCACTATTGGAAAATCCCCCTCGGTGCGCAATCCGAGATTTTATGGAGGAGGTTGGGGTTTGAGGTATTTTGAATTACTTCGTAATTGGAAAATGGTAAATAGAGGGACGGTCGAGTTGCCTCGATGGTGATGATATTGGGGAGGCTGGGAGAGTGAATGCACGTTGGAATTCGTGAGGTTGGGCTGACTGTGCCGCAGCTCCGAGGCTCGAGGACCAGAGTGGAATTCATAAATCGCATGTTATGAATTGAAAAGAAGCGATGACGTTGTACTGCAGGTTTTCTGCAGGGGAGAAGCTCGCTTTTTGTTCTCCTGTCTTACGTGTATTTGTTTCCTTCTTTCTTGTCGACTTATTTGTCCCTCTACTTCGGTGCCTCGGAATTAACAGACCCCTCCAACAGAGAGCACTTCCGGGACAGACAAGATAAAGTAACATTCAAAATTATTTAACCAGCTTTAAGTCAGTTCTCATAGGTGGACAATGGAAAGTTTGTTGCACATCGCGTTGTGAAAACGTGTAAATTCAAACTTTTGGCAGGTCTTTGATTGAATTTAAAGTCGGTTTTTAGGGATGGACAATGGACTTCCTTGTTGCACATCGCAATCCCAAGTCGCATTAATCCACGACTCTCTGATCCGTTTGGCCTATTGCTCTAAAGTATGGGGCATCTAGGAAGTATGGTCATAGTTGAGCAGTCTAGTAAACACACGATTGGGGTCCAATGAGTCAGAGACGTTCTAAACTTCATGTCAATATATCTATAAACCTTGCATACCTGAGCTCCAGAACCCATTCCATCCAATCCTCCCACTCAATGTATCCTAAGCGAGCAACTCAGGGCGACTTCCACGTGATCCTTCTCCTCTTCCGCCCTCAACCTCAACACCAACGCTTCCTCAATCATAGCCATAACAAAAGGCATCGGCGACGTCGTAAACATATAACACCGACTTGTACCTCAACTCCTCAATCAACTCTCATCTCCCGCCAAGTAACCGCCAGGCATGCTAAATTCGCTGTAAAACGAGCTCGAGATTAAGATTCGCGCTGACAACAAGTTCTGGAGTCTGGCGACGCTCATTGTATCTAGATTGGAAAGAGTGTCGTTGTTGATGTCGAGTAACAATGTGCACCCTCGGATGGAATGGCCTCGGAGCCGTTCTGCGAGTTGGTGTAAATTAACCTTTGATGGTTGGATGTAAATCGTAATATAAATCTTCTTACTCGCGCCCAGACTAACGAACAGCTTGCGCAAAGTTTCGAAGTCCGTATACCTAATGCAAACAATATCCTTGTTCTTCTTGCTCGCAACACGCAGACCTTCTTCACCGGCAGCTTCAAGGTCGGAAGGAAACAGGAGATAATGCCTCTTGGTTTTCAAAACAGGTCGACATAATCCAGCAATCGTGGACATGAGACCGAGCCCTGAGTCGGGGTAGGTTAGCGCCGATCGCTGGTGTGTGAGTTGGGCGACGAGGGACTCGACTGAAAGGTGTGGGGAAAAGGTTCCGAGCATCCAACGAGAGGTGCCAGAGGGGATACCGTATTGGTGTTGGGCTGACATACCCGCGTTGATGATTTCGAGGGAGATGGCGGGGAGACGTGGTAAGCGTCGAACTTGTTCTTGAATGAGACAATTGAGGTGTTTAAGCATTTCGTTGTTTTCGTCCTCATCAGCCATCATTTCTTCTGAGTTGTAACAGTACTTTTGCCGTGGAATTCTAGTTCGCTTCTTGAGCCCAATCTGACGACTAGCCGCCGCAATGGCTGTGATCAGACTATTGACGTCCTCGTCTGTATACGACGCTGAGAGAAGGACTCGCACTCGACTCTCCCAAATATCAACAGCTGGTGTACTGATAGGTGATGCTACGACACCATTACGTCTCAGCACCATCGATAACTCTGCCGCTTTGCTAGGTCGACCGCCGAAGACGGGTAGCATTGGTAAATGATTCAAATGTTGGTCTCCATAGACATGAACTCCTTGCCGATCCAGCTCTTCGTGACAAAATCGAGAGATGTCTTTCAAGCGGTGCAAATTCCGCTCAAGTCGTCTCGGCTGTTTCAAAAACCTGAGAGTCTGGACAATGGTAGCTGTAGTCAAGGGGTCACTCCATTGTTGGAGTGCTTGTGATCGATGGAGTAAGCACTCATCGAAGCGACTTGAACTGGTGCAGACAAAACCACCAAGTGCTCCAACTGCTTTTGATAATACGCCACTTCGAACGTCAATTACGTCTGGGGAAAGAGTATTTTCGGGATGCTCGTCATTCCAGAGTTCTAGAAGTCCTCGTCCAGTCCTGCCAATGGATCCGAAGGAGTGTGCTTCGTCCACGTAAAGTACGAAGTTGTACTGTTGCTTCAGCTCGCTCAGTGCATCAAGTGGTGGAATGGTTCCATGCTAGTTTGTGTCAGCATCGTGTCTCTCTCACGAACTCAAACATTCTAGGCTAACCTATAAAGACCTTCAGTCATTACTAAGACGTCAGTATAGTTCCCATTCAGGCTTGCGTCCTCAAGTATCCTTCGCAACTCAACCATGTTGTTATGTTTGAACTTTTTCATAGCATCTGCACAAGCGGAATAGGCACCGGTGAAGATAGAGTTGTGCGATTTCTCGTCAAGAACAATAAGCCATCCTTCTTTCGCAATGGCTGGGATGCCAAGCATATTCGATTGATATCCAGTGCTTGTGCTGAAGCACGACTTAGCGTTGAAGAAGCTGGCTAATCCTGACAGCATTTCATGTAGGAATGACGCAGCTGCGGTATTCGCTATTGGTAGCTGTTCGAGACATGTTTGATGTAGCGCCAGTTCGGCGTCGGATATGTCGTAGAGTCCTGCATAGTTGTGGGATCCACAATTGATGACTTTTTTGATGGACTGGTCTCTTTCTCGGATTCCGACTTGAGAAAGAGGTGCTGTCACTAGGATCCGATCATTCTGACCGTACCAATTGTATAAAGGGCTGATACAATAGTGATTGCATCGACCAATGGATGTTAATGTATCGTAAGGAGTTTTCAGTCGGATCTCTCTGTGAACAAAAGCAAAGTCAGCCGCTTTTGTGTCAAAAATAACACTCAGTGCTCCATACTACAGGCATATTCAACACTGGATTGAATCTGATGAGTATGAAATTGATCTTGCTCTAACATGGTACCATACCTGAGTCGCACTACAACGTATTGCTTCGCGAAGATGGTGGCTTCATATGCAATATTCTTGAACTTGGGTCGGCGAGTAAGGTAATGTTTGTGCTTTCCCTCAGTCAAGTGATCTGATAATAGCACAGACTCTGACAGTGTTATCTTCTCTTTTGGCCTATTAGTGCTTTCGACATTGGAACATTCTTGAATGGAGATCTGTGAGAGAGCTTTTGACTTCTCGAAGGATGCGGTATCAGACACCAGAGGCGATATCTCGACAATATTTGCTTTGTGCGCCATAGCCTATTCTAATGTGCGAGGGCGTTGCGTATGATATTCAAGTCTGGAAGAATAATTGTATAAACGGTCTAGAAATACTGTCTCATGGCCTGCGATCAAGCTATAAAGTTGGATGAAGTAATAAGAGTGAGGTATACAAGAAGTAAACATATTACAGAGAAGCGGACACTGGAAACAAATTCCACAATAATGAATGCAGCACAGGCAGAGCCTGCAGCTTTAGAGCACTAGAGCCGGATGTCCTAAGGAACATTCTATGTAACTGTGACATGCTGCGAAGCGAGCGTTTGCACAAATAGCAGTGCTTTCGAGGATCGTTTTTAATATTGTGGCTTGCGCAGTCTTGTGGCTTGCGGTGGCGCTCTGTCATCTTGCTTGGGCTATTCTCATTTCCTCGAATGAATCCCTCTGTACGACTTACAATCCCCTTCGACATCTCATGAATATCTATGTTTAACTCGAGCTCTTGATTATGTGTTGTCGGCAGTCCACGAATTTGTGGCGCCACTACTGTCTAGAACAATCTGGATGGTATGCAAAAGAAACTGTGGCTGGCGTGCGGCTGAGGTTCGATTCATGTGCCCACTTGTAGCAGTAACACGAGGATATGACACTGGATAACCGCGAGCACCGACGGAGGTCCGATGAATCATATTCAGGTCTGCTTGTGCAAAGTGCTCGAGCATAGTCCAAGGGGAGAAGAAACCACCGTGAAAATGTACTTGCAGTTGGTGTAGATTGGAGAGAGAAAACATTAACAAACTCGAAATGTAGCTTGCTAAGGGTAGAACCAATCAATGAAACAGCCTGCTAGTAACATCTCGGCTATATTTCAGCAACGTGAAGGACTTCAACGCTGGTATGTGGAGCATCTTCAGCTTGTAGGTGCCCATAAAGCTTGCCAAGAACAGGAAGTAGTCCAACATTGACACAACCAACAGAGTGCAACCTTGAAAGCAACGATCAGCGAGCGCAAAGGAGAGGCACTGGTCCTAAAGAATTGTTCGCTTCCTAAGCCTTAATACAGTCGAAGGTGTTGCAATCTGACTTTTTGAACTTGCAGATTTGAACGCATCGGAACGTGGACAGGACCAACGTGGTCACCAGTGGTTAGGAAATTTGCTTACATAATCACTTACCGAAACTTCAGCACTCCAGTCTTCAACAAGTTCTCCTACAACCAACAGCAGAATTTTCTTCTCCAGGACGAGATATCTTCAGATACACGAATGAGGCGCTTCGCAATGACAAATATTGCGCCGGTATGAGATGACAGCATTGTACGAATGGTTTTCCACTCTTGGGTTGAATTTCAAATTTCTAGCTAAGCCACACCTCTTTGCGACATCAAATGTTGCATCTGACCCGTGCAGAGCCAAGACAAGTGTATCTCGGCCTCAACGTTTCCTTTGCACATTTCATATTTCTTTCTATCTCTTCCCTTCCCTTCCACCCCATTCATATCTCTTTTTCGAGAGTCACAGAGTCACAGCCATTTCGATCCGAATACCTTGAAGAATTCCTGGCGGAAGAGTCGGATCTCCGTTCTCGTTCCGCAATTAGCACCACCGACGACGCATCATCATCAACACTAAGCAATTCATCATTCCTCTGTTTCGACATCGCGCCGACATCTTCCTCCTTCTTTCCTTACATCCTAATACACCTACCACTTTTTAATCAGATTGTCAACCTCTACATCGCCCATTAAATCGTCTGCAAAGGAAATCGCTCAACGAACAAGACTCGCAACAAAGCCACCGACCAAACCTTTCTTCTCCCCACAACCCACCAGTCTTCACAACCCTCTGCGAACAACTTCAGCACCTCCTCGAGCTAGGGCAGAACGAACACAGCCATCAAAATGTCAACAAAATACGATCCTCCCTCCGGCCCACCCCCGCCAGCCTACGGTTCCGAGACCGGTGTCAACTCTCCGCAACCCGCACACATAGCCGCGCAATCCACAGGACAGACACAATCAGACTATTACGGCGCCTCGCCTCAGAACGTCTATCCGCCACAGCAACCAGGCGCGTACGTACAAGGGCCTCAAGGCCAGTATCAATACCCGCAGGGGCCACAAGGAGGCTACTATGCTCCCAATCCGCAGATGGGGTATGCGCAACAAGGACCTTATGGTGGGCAAGGAGGGTATGGACCGCAGGGCGGGTATTATAATGGAGGATATGCGCCGGGGTACGGACCTCAGGGACAGTATTTGGATGATAGGCGGGGTGGCAGTAGTGGGTTCATGGAGGCGATGCTAGCCAGTTTGGCGTGTTGCTGTTGTTTGGATGCTTGTTTGCTGTTTTAAGTGTGCCCAGGGAAAGAGAAAGAGAAAACAGTCGGACTAGGAGACACAGTGTGCTTGGAGCATAGAGGAAGTGCCGAGCCACGAAGTTGTGGCGGATACAGCGAAGAGAGGAAAATGGAGATACAGGACGAGTGTATCGATAGACTGTATTCGGAATAGGCTCTCCGGGTCACTGGCTGGCTGGACCGTCACAGAACCTCAGTTCTGGGAGAGAACCTTGCATGGGGATGGTGTTCAGTGATTTGATTGTAATGCACAAATACTTTTATTTTACATGAGCAATTTGAATACTGCATCTTATTTTATCTAATCATACACTGTCGATTCTTTGCACAACTACGGCGGTAGCAGCTCCACCTCCATTACAAATAGCTGCAACACCATACTCGCCAACCTTCAGCTGATGGAGTAAAGTTGTCAAGATTCTTGATCCTGAGCTTCCCAAGGCATGGCCTAATGAAATGGCTCCACCCAATGGATTGACATTTGCTCCTTCAAGACCGAGAATCTATTCCTTGTTAGCGTTTGTTCGTGGGCTGAGAATGGTAAGAAACCAACCTTCTCATTCGCCTTAATGACTGCAGCAAAAGCCTCATTAAACTCCCATATCGCCACATCTTCCTTCTTGATACCTGCTCTCTCCAAAGCAATAGGCACCGCCTTGGCCGGAGCAACAGGAAAGTCGACGGGATCAATAGCAGCATCTGCGGAACCACATATCCGGGCTAATACTCTAGATCCCGCTCCATATTCTCTCGCAATAGCTGCATTCCCCAACACCAAAGCACTAGCTCCATCGTTCAAAGTACTCGAGTTGGCAGCTGTGACAGTTCCCGTTCCGTCTCGAATGAAGGCCGGCTTAAGCGTAGAAACCTTCTCCAATTTGATATCTAAGTACCCCTCGTCTGTGTCGATAATGGTATCTCCCGTCCTGCCCTTAACCGTGACAGGGGCAATCTCGTCCTTAAAAGCACCATTCTTCCATGCCTCTTGAGCACGGGAGTAGCTCTGCTTAGCATAATCATCCTGCATCTCCCTCGAGATCTCGTACTTCTTGGCTGTCGTCTCCGCGCAGATGCCCATATGGAATTGGTTGTACACATCCCATAATCCGTCCTTGATCAATCCGTCTTCCAATTGTGTGTTTCCAAACGCCGGCTGTTGACTCGCTCTTGGGATATAATATGGTACTCGTGTCATGTTCTCCATTCCTCCGGCAATCTGGGCTTCAGCAAGACCAAGCTGGATATTTTGTGCGGCAAAGACAACTGCCTTGAGACCGGACGCACATACTTTGTTGATCGTAACGGCCTCGATTGTGTTTGGCAGACCAGCAAAGATAAGTGCCTGTCTTGCTGGTGCTTGGCCAACGTTTCCTTGCAAGACATTTCCCATGTACATATCTGTAATTTTCGAGACAGGCACTTTCGACTTCTCAAGGGCGGATTTGATAGCTACAGCTCCGAGTTGTGGTGCAGAAACTGTGGTAAATGATCCATTGAACTACAGACATTATTAGCCTCATAAGCTCTAAAGTGAAGTCAAACTTTACCTTTGCTGTAGGTGTTCGGGAGGCGCTCAATATGTAAGCATCTTGAATCTCTTGTTTGGCCGAGGTTGTGGCACTGAAATGCCTCTGAACCTGGGCTAATCGTTGTTGTGATGCAGGAGAATTTCTGAGTGTAGACATTGCTGTCCTAGCCGCTCTGAAAGACATTATGGACACGAAAACTGTGTTGAAGACAGAAAATGAAAGTGTGGTAAAAGAGGAAGAGCACTCCGGCAAGTGGAGGCTGGCAGCGGAAGCTCTCCGTTCTTTAAGCTCGGCTTGTGATCGAAGGCGTTGAGGTCCGTTCCTCTTACAATAGAGACAAGAAGATGATAAATCAATTGAGACATTGGATGAAAAAGGAAAATAAAGGCAATTTCTCGTACGACTCACAAGATCTGATAAACAAATGTGTCGAAATTTCTAAATTGAGATAGATCTCTGGGCGTTCAACGGATCTGCGACCTCGGCTGGGACCTGCCGCCACGTGACACGTACTGTCGGGACCCTGTTATCAGAATCTGTAGTGGGCTGCTTGTCTCATGCACAACGATCCGTCAACGGCGACATTCATCCCAGGCGGTCAAACTCGAGTCTCGATTCCTTCGTCACACTCGAGCGTACCACTGACCATCTGATACCATACAGGCGGGACCTTGCATCTGCCATTCACCTTGTTGGTTTTACCAAATTTTGTCAAGTCTTGGACTGCTTGCGCTATCGGGAAGACAATAGACACAACAACTCCTCCATCCAGCATTTTTGGACCAGTTTTCTGCGAATACCAACTCCAGCAATACCTTTCTCTTTCAGCATATTCAGCAAAGTCATACCTCCGTATCTGCAAGGATGTCTACCGCAGCTCGTCGCCGCTTGATGCGAGACTTTAAGGTTTGTGGCGTTGAGGACGAGCACACGATCATGTCAATATACTAACCAGATAATTCAGCGCATGCAAACAGATCCTCCTGCTGGGGTTTCGGCATCGCCAGTAGCAGACAATGTCATGACTTGGTAAGGAACATCCGGTCCCTCCGTCCATCTGCATGTGCTAATACTCTCCCAGGAACGCAGTCATCATCGGGCCAGCAGATACTCCATTCGAAGACGGAACCTTTCGACTAGTTATGCATTTCGAAGAGCAATACCCCAACAAGCCGCCCGCAGTCAAGTTCATTAGCCAGATGTTCCACCCCAATGTATATGCCACCGGGGAGCTTTGCTTGGATATTCTACAAAACAGATGGAGTCCTACTTATGATGTGGCAGCCGTCCTGACCAGCATTCAGAGGTGTGTTTTACTTTCAGAAAGAGAGGACTGAGCGCTAACCTGTATGGCAGTCTTCTCAACGATCCCAATACCAGCTCTCCCGCCAACGTCGAAGCCTCCAACCTGTACAAAGACAATCGACGAGAATATACAAAACGCGTTCGAGAATCTGTGGAGAAGAGCTGGGAAGATTAGACGGCCTTCCATTTCGACGGAGGAGAAGGAACTGCACGTGCATTATGAGACCCTGATAATGGCGGGGTTCTGGCGTTTCGGTGATGGTGGTTGCTTCTTCATATTTCTGTTTTGGCTTTGGCTGCTGCTATCTTTCACGGAGTACATTCTAGGCAGCTGGGTCATGCATAGCAGAGCGGTTATTCGGTCATTTCATTGCCCTTACATCCAAATCAAACAAGTTGTCCCCGATTTCCATCACTTCCATTGAGGTAACTGCGGTAAACAACTGGCACATCTGCACAACAAAGCGCATTTGGGCGTCATCGTGCACCAAAACAAGAAACTGTATCCATTCCCTTCTTCGTCGATCGACCCCACTTCCATTGATTAATATCACTCTTATATTGCTCCCCCGCCAGCATTTCCCTGCCAGTTGTAACGTGATCGCATTGCGCCGGGCAAATTAGCTGGTACGCGAAATCTTGACTTCCTACGCGAACCGAGTTGTAACAACACCTCCTTATCGTCCAAAACGTCACATCTACACCACAAACACTCGGCACTCGTGCTCAACCTTCGTCCTTATGATCGTGCCCTGATGCACACCACTCCGCGATCATGTCGAACAGTATCAAGGTTGTGGCGCGGTTCAGGCCGCAGAACCGCACCGAGATTGAAGTCGGGGGTCAGCCTATTGTTGAATTCGAGAGCGAGGACACTTGCAAACTAGATGTAGGCGTTGCATCGAGGCGCCCATAAATCTGCTAATATACTCTGCAGTCAAAAGAAGCCTCTGGATCCTTTACCTTCGACCGAGTGTTTGATATGAACTCGCGCCAAAAAGATGTCTTCGATTTCTCTATCAAGCCGACTGTGGACGACATTCTTAACGGATACAATGGAACGGTCTTTGCATATGGGCAAACGGGTGCGGGAAAGTCATATACCATGATGGGCACAGACATCGACAATGATGAGGGGAGGGGTGTGATTCCTCGAATCGTGGAACAGATCTTTGCCAGCATATTGTCTAGTCCTGGGACAATCGAATACACGGTACGGGTCAGCTATATGGAAATATACATGGAGCGGATTCGGGATCTTTTGGCACCACATAACGACAATCTTCCCGTTCACGAAGAGAAGAACAGAGGTGTATATGTGAAGGGACTACTAGAAATCTACGTCTCGAGCGTACAGGAAGTGTATGAGGTAATGAGAAGAGGTGGGAGTGCAAGAGCTGTTGCATCAACAAACATGAACGCAGAATCCTCACGATCCCACTCGATATTTGTCATTACGATTACGCAGAAGAATGTCGAAACGGGGTCAGCGAAAAGTGGACAACTGTTCTTGGTCGATTTGGCAGGTAGTGAGAAAGTCGGCAAGACAGGTGCTAGCGGACAAACTCTGGAGGAAGCCAAGAAGATCAATAAGAGTTTGAGTGCTCTGGGCATGGTCATCAATAATCTGACGGACGGCAAATCATCCCATATTCCATATCGAGACTCGAAACTCACGCGTATCTTGCAAGAATCTTTGGGAGGAAACAGTCGGACAACGCTTATCATTAACTGCTCGCCGAGTAGCTACAACGATGCGGAAACTTTGAGCACGCTTAGATTTGGTATGCGGGCGAAGGCAATCAAGAACAAGGCCAAGATCAATGCGGAGATAAGTCCAGCAGAACTCAAGGCACTGCTCAAGAAGGCACAATCACAAGTCACCACATTCGAGCAATATATTCAGACCTTGGACGCAGAAGTACAGCAATGGCGGTCTGGAGAGTCAGTACCAAAAGACAGATGGGCACCGCCTCTGGATGGCGTGGGTGTCGCGAAGGCAAAAGCACAACCGCCGAGACCATCTACGCCATCCAGATTGATGACGGAAAGTCGAGCAGAAACACCAGCAATCTCCGAACGATCCTCGACCCCAAGTTTACCTATGGACAAGGATGAACGAGAGGAGTTCCTGCGTCGTGAGAACGAACTTCAAGACCAGATCGCCGAGAAGGAAACCCAGATTGCTGCAGCTGAAAAGACCCTGCGAGATACCAAGGAAGAGCTCACATATTTGAAAGAACGGGACAGCAAGGCAAACCGGGAGAACGAAAAGCTCACTGGTGATGTCAACGAGTTCAAGATGCAGATGGAACGTCTAACTTTTGAGAGCAAGGAGGCTCAAATCACTATGGATGGTCTCAAGGAGGCTAATGCAGAGCTGACTGTCGAGCTGGACGAAGTCAAGCAACAGTTGCTCGATGTCAAGATGTCCGCTAAGGAGACCAGTGCTGTGTTAGATGAAAAGGAGAAGAAGAAGGCAGAGAAGATGGCTCAGATGATGGCATCTTTCGACCTTGGTGGAGACGTGTTTAGTGATAATGAGCGAGCTATCAAGAAGGTGATTGACCATGTCGATGCTCTGCACGAACAATCATCGGCCGGGGAAGCCATTCCTCCGGACGAGTTCCAAGAAATCCGAGCAGCACTGGTTGAGACTCAAGGCATCGTCCGACAAGCAGAACTCTCTGTTTACGCTCCAGCAGAAAGCACTGCGAATGCCAAGCGAAGAGAAGAATTGGAAGGCCGGCTTGAGGCTATAGAGCGTGAATATGAAGAACTTCTAGAGCGCAATCTAAGCGAAGCTGATGTTGAGGAAGTTAAGACTCGCTTAGCCCAAGCTTACGCCAACAAGCAAGATGTGCAGACATCTTTGGTGGAAGATCTAAAGGCAGAACTTGCTCAGAAGACATCCGAGATCCAAAAGTTCAAGGCTGTCAACGAAGATCTTCAACAGAAGGTGAAGGCAGGTGGTGCTCCAAATGGTACCGCCAGCATGGCAAATGGCAAGACTGTGCAACAACAAATTGCAGAGTTTGATGTTATGAAGAAGAGCTTGATGAGAGATCTTCAGAACAGGTGCGAGCGTGTGGTCGAGCTCGAGATCAGCTTAGACGAGACCAGAGAGCAATACAACAATGTTCTTAGATCATCCAACAACAGAGCGCAGCAGAAGAAGATGGCGTTTTTGGAGAGGAATCTGGAGCAATTGACTCATGTCCAACGACAACTTGTTGAGCAAAATGGCAGTCTCAAGAAGGAGGTTGCTATTGCTGAGCGCAAGTTGATCGCCAGAAATGAGCGCATCCAATCTCTGGAGTCGTTGCTTCAAGATTCTCAAGAGAAGCTTACAGCCGCAAACCATCGGTATTTCCCACTATTCTTTCACTTTGGCAGTGACTAACAAGACACAGATTCGAAGCACAACTTGCTGCGGTTAAAGAGCGTCTCGATGCCGTCAAAGCCACAAGACAAATGGGCTCGCCTACGAACGGCAACTTCTCCTTCGGTGGGGCTGGGTCTCGCATCGCAAAGCCACTGAGAGGAGGTGGCGGTGATGGCCCGGTCATCCCAACTATCAGCGGACTTCAAAACGAAGCTTCAGGCAACTCAGGGAAGAGAACAAGTTGGTTCTTCTCCGGCCAGAAATAAGGAATGCGTTGTGGAAAGTAAGGAAATCTCGGAATACGAGGAGGCAAGCAACGAAAGAGTAGACTAGATAAGATGAGTTATGTATACCCACGTTTTCCGTCACGGTTTGTTTTGGATTGTTGTTGATCTTATTCTCCCTCTTCTTCGAGTCGTTGATTGCATAGATGGGATAAGGAGCGCGGGACGGACCGGAAGGACTGGGCGGGTGGGCTACCTTTTTATTCAGAATGGGCGAGCGAGCGAAGCATTATCTGGAAGGATGGGTGGTCTATATAGGCGTTGCGAAATCATTAATTGAAGATGCCCCAACTCTGGAATTTGGGGTTCGAGTTTGAGTTTTGGAATGTTATGTACCCGTTGAGCAGTCTTGAAATGGCTCATCTTCTGGCGAGTGCCTGACTGGATAGTTCTGCTCCTCTTCGCATTCGCATCGAACGAGATTGAGGTGCTGCAGGAAGCTCGCAAGACTTTCAACCTTGTCAGCCAATTGAGTGCGACCTCGTAATCGTGTAAGACAGCATCCGCCACGCCGAAACATCTCATGTATGAAACATCTGAAGTTTGAGTATTGCATATGAATAAGGTCAATCCAATTGTACAACACAAGTTCAAAATTGTTCTCTCGTTAGTGTTGTTAAAAGTTCTTTCTGCTCCATCAACGGCTGACGAGCGCTCAAATCTGACCCGAGACTCGCAGAGCAATACCTCTGGAACTCAAACACCACCAGTGCAGGTGAGACGGCTCCAAAGGCACCAATAGAACTCTGTATGATCTATTCTCCTATTTAGAACTCTTATCTATCTCACATAAGAGATTCCTTCGTTTAAACATGGGGCCAAGTTTAACCGCAATGACTAACGAACATGGGGACAAAAGTCCGTGCGTTCAGGCTGTAGAACCTCGAAATTAAAACTCTTCACATTAGGACTAAACTATCAACAACTCCACCATTATGGATCCTTTTACCACTCCACCTATGTCTCCACGTCTCCCAGGTGCAGAGATCAGAACCAAGCACAAAGAGGGCATACGCCGGCTCTTCAAATTCGCTAAAATAGGCCTGCAACAGCTCCAGGGCTACTACCACCTAGGAGACAGCACAGTTAGGAAGATCCTACTATACGATGTGCCTGAAAGAGCGCGCCCTACACGCACAGGGAGACCCAGAGAATCCCTCAATGAACAGGAGGTTAGAGATATTATTGAGTATATTTGCACCGACCATGCAACTAGAGTGCTGAATTGGATCCAAATACACGATGAATTGCAACTCTCTTGCTCTGTCAAGACCCTCAAACGCCGCTGCAAAGAAGCTGGATACTACTCTTGTATCTGCTGCCAAAAGCCCTACCTCACTAAGACCCAAGCCAATGCGCGGTGGCTGTGGGGGATAGCACACATGTTTTGGACTATTTGGGAATGGAGTCAGATACTGTACTCAGATGAGGTCACATTTCAAGTTGGAGGGAAGAAATGCAAGCAGAGGTGTATTAGGAATAAGAAGGAACGCTGTCATCCTGACTGCATTCAATTCCAAATGCATAGAGGTGGCACTATTCCTGTACACTTCTTTGGTGCTGTAGGCTACGGATACAAAAGTCCATTGATCAACATTCATGGAACTGGGAAGAGTGGGGCATTTACACAAACTGATTACCTTGCTCAAGTACTCAAGCCTTATATTCAGGATTTTTTAGCTGCTTTTGCGGCTGTTTTGGGGCCTGGGAAGACCCCTCAGTTCATGGAAGACGGCAACTCTGCTCACGGCCACAAGACTACTAGCAATATTTGTGCTACTTGGCGTACTTCTATGGGTATTACTCTATTCCCCCATCCTGCAGTTAGCCCTGATATGAATCCTATTGAGAAGTGCTGGAGGAGAATAAAACAAGCTCTCCATAGGCGCCTAAGGCAGCCAACAACTGAGGTTCAAATGGTTGTAGCAGTATTAGAAGAATGGGACAAAATTCCTCAGGAATGGATCAATGGGCTTATTGAGCAGCAGGACTTCTGGGTACACGACTTAATTAAGCGATGTGGCTGGTCTACAGCTAATTAATTAATAAAATTCATGATTCTGATGCCCTGAACGCACGGACTTTTGTCCCCATGTTCGTAAGTCCTTTCACTCAATTCGTTCTCCACCAACATCGCAAACATACGACGAACTGAAGAAGTCTAAAATAAGAATTAAATCCAAACGCTCGACGTCGTACTTCAAAGACCAGTATAAATATTGGTCAGTTGGCTCATTCGACTCGCACTTTCACTGACTCCTTTACAGGTCTTTATCATGTGGTCTACTCCTCCCGTCATACAGTCTGATGCCCAAAACAGCGGCAGATGTGTCATTGATCGTCAAGGCTCTCTTCAAATCAAATGAGAGATTTGCCATCAAAGCTGGTGGACATAATCCAAACCGCCATTTCTCTAGTGTTGAATCGGGCATCCTCATCAATCTTCGAGATTTAAAGGAAATCACTTACGATGCGGCATCGAGCACTGTTCGAATAGGACCTGGAAATCGATGGGCGGATGTTGTTAAGGCGCTCGAACTTTTTAACGTCACCGTTGTTGGTGGTCGTATTGGAAGTGTTGGCGTGGGAGGGTATCTTCTTGGCTGTGAGTAAAATCTCATCCGTGTCCGATGAAACAATTACGCTGAACATTACAGGTGGCTTGAGTTATCTGAGTGCGCAGTACGGTTAGGCAGTCAATAGTGTAATTGAGTTTGAAGTTGTGCTTGCCAGCGGGTGGGAACATGATATTCCACTCAAAGAAAACCGACCAAATCCTCACAGCTGTCCGGAATTTCGTCGAAGACTGCCAGGATCCCAGAGCTGCGATCATTGCTACCAATTTTCTCGTCCTCCGTGCCCATGTCAGCTTCTGGGCTATCTTTTTGTTTTATGACGGCCCGCAGCCCCCTCCTGGGACCTTCGACAGTTTCACAGAAATCGGTCCAATGAGGGAGACCTGTCGGACCACAACTTATGTCAAGTTACTGACCAAATTTGACAACTTCATCTTCACCGGCCAAAGTTATAGCATCGCAACCGAGACATCTCCTCTTCCTGACAGAAAATGTGGACTAAAGGTTATGAGATCATACTACGATTCTCTAGATCGGATTGTTATGGAGTTCGACATGTCCAACTTGCGTCCATCGCAAGCCTCAAGAGTCGATGCTGCTCTCGTCGAGATTTATGCTGGGATCCGAGAAAAAGTTCAAGGGTTCATCGCAGATGGAACGTTGCCAGATGCTCATTTACCGCTGTTCATGAATGATGCCAATTATCAGCAAGATTATTTTGGACGATTACGGCCGGAAACATTGGCGTTTGCCAAGGCTGTGAGGGATGAGGTTGACCCAGATGGGATTTTTCGTGAGAGGACTGGTGGTTTCAAGATGTGATTCTGAATGGAATTCGACAGGTGAATCTCGTAAAAATGTTCACCGACTCAGCCACCACTTAGTATTGATTACCTGAATCCATACCTCTCGTGGCGTTGTAGTGCGGGCTTCATTGGGCGATTGCTGCAAGGCGTCCCGTGTCCCAGCCTCATCTGCAACGGTTCACCGAGGCAGACTCATGAATCCATCGATAAAGTCCTCTTTCCATCCAAGTCATTTAAATTTCTTGTGACCATTATTTGAGTTTTCCTATCAAGCCTATATCGCGGTAATTCAAAGCTGTCAAACCACCTGCACTTCCAAGTCATACCCATGAAACTCCACCTCGACGCATTATGACTTCCAATTCTATATCTCAATTGAACACCACCTCAAATTCAACCTCACTGCTCAACGGCACCGATACCTCAGATTGCTGTACAACAAACTTAGGCCTCGCTCTCGGATTAGGCATACCACTCGGCGTTTTCGGGCTTCTGGTCTTCATCGTCGCGTTCTGTCTATCTTTGGGCTATAATATTTCCTGTGGCTTTGGAAACTGTTTCGCATCAATAAGAAGGTGGCAGAAGGCTCGCTCGGTGAAGAGGGAGGAAAGAAGGAGGGAGCCGATTGATCCTGGGCCTGTGGCTACTGAAGCGATGTCACCTTGGGATGGCGGGGGAGACAGGAGAGCGAGGTGGAATGTCAGGAAAAAGCTAGGAAGTTGCTCTGTACAGTAGAATGTCTGGTTGAAATATGGACATTGTTTCGCTCCTCTCTTCGAGTTTGAGAGCGATAGGCCTCACGTAAGCAGGCGTCCAATCAGACCATGCATGAAGGATCGGCACTCCAACATCGATGTCCTCTACGGACTTCACCAGAGGATCAAGAACACAATCAGAGCCATGCCACGTTGCCAATCATGTCAACGCATCAACTTCCGCAGCATGCTTCTCGAGGCCGCCTCTCGAGAAGCAGAAGACGACCATTCCAAGACAGGATTCTTTTCCCCAAACATTCCTGTTCATCAACATGTGGTAGTCTGGTCTGAGTACAAAAAGAATTGCGAACTCTGCAAAGTGTTGTGGGTGAAGCATGCATTGAAGAGACTGCTGAAGTTTAGATCTTTGAAGGGAGAATCTACTTTTGATCTCCGGGTGAAAAGCTCTGCCAACGGATGGCAAGATGTGCCTGTGGTTAGGCTGCATGTCAGTGGGCAGGGGGATCCAAATGAGAAGAACGCGCAAGAGTATGAGTTGCGATTTCTTGAGCAGGGTGTGTTTTGGCTTGTCCGATTTTCCGTCTCGATTTTCACACCTGCATGATGACCGTTAAGCTGACATGTAGCTAGATCACTTTGCTGAATATCCAAAAGATTACTTGAAGGTTCGACCTCTACTGTTGAAAGAATTGTCGTCTTACTCCGGATCTCCAGAATGCTTGTCTTTGGTGAGGAGTTGGTACGAGACCTGCACGACCTCTCAACACTTGACTTGTGTTCGACAAAGAACCACACTTCCATGCCTGCCTACGCGAGTAATAGACGTTGGGATCGAAGACGCGAATCCTTCGTTATGCATCACGGAAGGTGCTCCCGGCTCCTGGCTAGCTCTAAGTTATTGCTGGGGCTCCTCATCAAATTTTGTGCTCAACAAAGGAAGCTTTGAAAGATTCAAGGCAGGATTGCCATTATCTGAATTCCCACAGACCATCCGTGATGCCATCACGATTACGCGAGCTCTCAAGGAAAGATTTCTCTGGGTAGATGCTTTGTGTATTCTCCAAGATTCCGCTGAGGATTGGCAGCGGGAATCTGGGAAAATGGCAGAGGTTTATTCAAAGGCTTCCTTGACTATCATCGCAGCAGCAGATGCCTCATCTGGTGTCACGACTGGGATCTTTCATCAACGTAAGATCTCTCCTTGTGCTAGGGTACCGTGGAATGAGGAAGATGCAACCCGAAAAGACTTCGAGATCGTGAACTGGAACAACGAGATTGGAGATGAGCAATCTCGTGTGGCTGAAATCGAGATATGTATCAGAGCAGCCGAAAGGCCAGCGGGTCACATACTGCTCAACAACGGCCCAAAGCCCAAAAGCTCTCCATGGGCAACTCGGGCCTGGACATTGCAAGAGCAACTACTCTCATGGCGAACACTCACTTTTGCGACCTCTCAAATGCTATGGTCTTGTCCATGCTACAACCACGGTGAGGATGGCAAGATGATTAGAGAAGACAAAAAAGAAGATCTACCCAATATGTTGGAAGATGAGAACATCGAAAGTCACATCCCTGCGCAACGACGATATGTAAAGTGGTACCGAGTCGTCACTGTATACAGCAGTCGGAACCTGACATACAATTCGGACAAGATCGTTGCAATTGCCAGTGTGGCAAAGCGTATGAACCAACTTTTCAGGGACGAATACTGTGTAGGTCTCTGGCGCAAAGACTTGTGTGCTGGTCTTTGCTGGCGACTTTGGGAGCCGGAGCATAAACGCAAGGTTGTACCGACAATCTCAGACAGCTATCCATCGTGGTCATGGATCAGTGTCAATGGTGGTATTCGGTATGATATGGAGTATATTGAGGAGTATGCTGCACCTTTCAATCCTATGCTTCATGTCGAAGACTTCAAATTGACTTATGTATCCGACAATCCTTACGGACAGGTTGAGGGAGCGCAGCTTATCGTCTCGGGACCTTGTCTCTCGTTTAGATATAAAGATCAGGATAGAGAACGAGAAGAGCAGGGCATTCAGACAAAGTTCCCCCGTTTCATCGAAAGACGAATTGAAGCCGATGAAGAATTTCAAAGACGTCGACGACCAGATGCAAACCCGGAATTGGCTATACTTCTTATAGCCAATGCATCTTACGGCTACAAAGGAAGTGATTTGCTAAACCCGTGGTTCCCCAGCAACAACTTTCCTCACGTATATTATCTTCTCGTGCTTGAGCCAGTTGAGGGTTGTTCGGTGGAAGTATCGCTACAAGCGCCATCTCAGTGTTTTCGTCGCGTCGCATTCATTCATCTCGAGTTGGGCAACGTATTTAAGTCGATGGAGAGGCATAATCAGGAAGAGGATATTGAGATTGCAAAAGAGATGAGAGCGCAGCCTTGGCCGGTGAGGATGGTCACGCTGGTGTGACGTGGCCCTCATTGTTCAGCAACTTGGCTGACTATGGTGGACGAGATCAAAAACTGCATTGGGAATCAGCGATCTGCTTTCGAGGAGAAAGATGTTCTTTCAGCCAGGGACAAGATAAGTCTGTGTATAGTCTCCCAGTTCATATCTAGATCTCCTCTGTCTTCTTGAACCTCTATAAGCACACATCTTTGGCCATGCATGAACATAAATCGATACTCCAGAGGTAAACAATTCACGACACCGTGTCTTTGCGAACCGTGTTTAAATTCCTTCTGAAACTTTCTTTGATGACCTTTTCGTCCATGGCATACCCTAAAACATTAGATAACTTTGAACTCCATCAAAGTTCGGTGGTTCTCGGGAATGTTGGTCTGGACAAGGACGAGAACATCATTTTCCATTCAGTTCCTGAACTTAAGCACATTCGTCTTGTAGAAATATTCAAGCTGAAAGAATGTGTCAAACTTGATACAGAAAATAATTCAGTTGGGAGTTCGAGGCTGAATACAGAATCAGTTGCCCGGATCAGGACACTTCTCTTCAGCATTAGCACGTTTACTCGGAAATGGAATGCTTCATGTTTAGAACAGTAACAATGGTCTGGTTTACTTGACATCAACAGAACGCTGAACATGTATTGAAGCCAAAGAAAGATCCTCTACTCCTGTGATAAATCTATTGCCTGTGATGAAACTATTGCCTTCCGCTCCCTTTGTTAGAATCATGCTCCTCAAAGCTCCGTTATTAAGGTTGATGCTATTTTCATGTCTATACGCATTTACAGACAGTAGAGACCTATTCTGTCGTTAGTTAGTTGATGATGCCCTGGACTGAGTGCGACTTCTGGTCAACAATGTTGTCAATCCAGTTCTGATCCTGGCCAAGAACTCAAATTTGGGCAGAAGAGGTCGATAGGTAGGGAGACAGCAGCAGATTACCGAGGCTCCAAGCTGTATAATAAATTATAAAAAGCTTTCGCTATAATTATCTGAGTACTGCTGTAACATAATAACTTCCAATCTCCACCGGCATTGGTTTCGGATGCATTAGATGGAAGATTTCTTCTCCTTTTTCATTTCAATATTTTTGCTCGCAGGATCCAACATGTTCGTAATGTTCATACGGTTCGTTGGTTGGGCTGCCATGCTGGTGACTTTGTAATTCAAGTTGATATTAAATGATGTCCGCGGTGGCACTGCTTAAAGTGCATTTCGACAGAAGAGTGTCTCAGCGTCAACTCCGACTCAGTCAGGAATCTAACACCCCGGATTTCGAAGGCTAGCCTATAAGTGCTGTCGTTATATTAGCGAAAGAAGAAATTAATCAAAATAATGTCAACCATTACTCGATTATTTCGATATAAGATGCCAGATATGATCCATCAAAGTTGCAAGGCAACCGATCTCGATGCAAGCCATGGATTCAGGCTTGCTTCCCGTCCTTACCTCGATCGCCTTGGTCCTTGCCACCTTCAAATTCCTCGCAGCCTGCCAGCATCGGCGGGAGAAGGAAGCCCGTTGGAACGACGTGATGGCATCCGTAGAGCCATTGACATGTACACTGCTCGTTATCGCCAAGGTTGTAGTGTTGGCAGCTTCTTTTAGGCAGAACGAGAAGTTTGACACCATCGCCCTTTCGGCAGCAGCGAGGGTCCTCGCAATCTACCAAGTAGGTCTTCTCTCCTCTCCTTGCACAAACATCGACTCACATTCTTAGTGGTGGGTATCGAATTAAATCCAAGAGCCCCTGTAAAATCGGAATTTGAAGCTAAGAACACAAAGCTAGTTCTAAAGTAATTCATCCATTTTTGGCTCGGGTTCGTGTGACTTGAATCACAGCTTAAAGCGACGAGCCCCTTCGCTTTCGTAGAAGTAAATTGATTAAGATCACTTTATAAACAACACTTCATCAAGCTCGAACTACGATGGATCCGCGACAAGACTAGTCACCGGAGTAAGAGATAATGGGAACTAGTAAGTTTGCACATGCCACTTATCGATCTATGTCATCAGATCTAGATCCTATCGCGTCATTCATTACAGGATGCTAAATTATGTTTTGTTTAGATGATTCTTTGGCGTCACTCGATCCAGGACGCCAAACCATGGGTACTCGACAAGACGCCGTCCAGAGACCGGCATACCAAGCACCCAATCAACTTGAATGGGTACCTGCCATTTACGAAAGGCAAACACCATGCGAATTGGAGTACCCACCCGGTCAAAGACTCGATGACCCCTCGGTGCAGTGGCCTGGGACCGCTGAAACTCTTCTCAGTGCCTATACTGCTGACCAGCTAGTTATCGGCAGTACCAATAGCCGTTCTCTACCCGTGTCATCATTGGGCAATTAGTCTTCTTCACCTCATGGTGAGGAGCCGACCCACCATGGGATGATGACCAGCGGCGATCAGATTGAAACACAATCATCTGAAATGAGCTCGTATGGCGACCTTCATACATCCCTTTTAAACACGGGAAATAAGGTACCAATCCATTGCAGAAAATGCAACAAGTTTTTCCAATCTCAAGAAAAGCGTCGAGACCATGGACGTGCGGTTCACAAATTATTTTATTGCCCGCAAGTCAAGTGCCACTTCACGACTAGAGGCCTTCATTGCGAGTCCCACCGCAATCACCTGCCATGCGCACCAAAGATCATGCCAAGTGTCCTGCTTTTCGAAATGCCTTCCGTGCCAACCGACAGCACCAAGGATGTGGTTAAACACAGCAGGAGGATGCAGACACAAAGACATCCTCCGTCTATTGGTCGCTTTTGATATTCACAGTGCCACCGGCAAGTGTTCATATATTGCAATTAAAGTGGTGAAGTGGTGTAGAGGTGAAGTGGTGTAGAGGTGAAGTGGTGAAGTGGTGAAGTGGTGAAGTGGTGAAGTGGTGAAGTGGTGAAGT